CAGTTAACATTTCTTCTGGATATTGATATTTTTGTGACCTTGATATGACAGACTGTTTCTATTTTAACAATGTTTTGTTAAAGTTTTAATCTTTTCACTATAATACATCATACCTATACGAAAAAGTTTGACAAAAACCAACTTTCTCATTTTAAAAGGCAAAAATGCAAATTTGCCATTTTTGACGCTTTTTTTAGCTTTTGCGTTGGAATTTGCATAAACGCAGAGACTTTACTAAGAGACTAGTTTGCAATCAACAATATTTGTTAGTAATAATGTAGGTTACTCATGCTTGAAAGAACAATTCTAGCGTTTAAAAATTGCTTAAATTTTAAAATGCTTTCGCACCGTCAAGCCAAGTTTTTTGGACTTCACTTGAAATAAAAACTTTGTTTTGTATGAACTCAAAGATGCCCATACGAGTTTCTTTAAGATTAAGATTGTACATCGTGGCGATCAACAAGATAACGTCACTCTAAGTCTATATTGATAAGACATGTACAAAAACAGATTGAAGACATTTTGTACGCTGCGCATCATTAAAACAAGTCAGACAATAAGCGGAAGCCGGCATAATTGCGCTGTCGTGTTTACCACGTTTAAAATCACCCTTTCTGCAAAATTTTAATGATGCTGTAAACTCAAACAGTAAATCCGAACAATATAATCAAAAATTTAAAGCACTAACTGACATGACGAAAACAATTGACTGTTTTAACTCAGTCATTGTTTTGACAATCCTGCTAAATAATGTGGATCACCAGGACTATATAACTTTAACAATATAAAACATTGCACCTGAATTTTTGTCTTCATTCTTCAAATGTTTATTAACGTAATCCTCAACTTCATTACCAAAGAATAATTTTACAAAATCCACGACATAAATATGATGTGATCCACAGCAACCCAGATATCATTCAAGAAATCATGACGTAATCCACAATAACAATGCAATACCGCAGTCAAATGTACCATTCGTGTTCGTTTTCTAGGAAACAAAGCATATTTTAAATCAAGTATCATGCAGGAGTGTCTTTGGAATGGATTACTATTGCAAACAGAATAAAAAATTAAATTTTTCAAGATGGCAAACACATACAATTAAAAAATATTAGAGCACAAAGAAACTTTTAATGTGTAGAACTTAGAACGTTAAAAACTGGTAGCTAATGGTTACAAGAATTTGTTTCATGCCTGGCTGATCCAAATTCACGATAATTTGCCGACTTTTAATGAAACATGTAAGATAACAAAAAATGATCATCACAACAGATATTTGGAAGAGAAAATGAATATCTATAGGGTCTCGTTATAACCAGCCAGTTGGTCATTAATCATTAACCAAGGGTATACTATTTTCCCCTAAGCTCCCTGGTTTGTGCTCTTTTGTACATCAATATATCGCCTGCAACTGAACTATACTTAAATGATACTGAATTTTATACCAAACAACATTTTTATATTTTCTATTAATTTCAGTATTTTTCGACAAATAATTACTTTTTACTAGCAAAATAACGACTGCAGTAGAAAAAATACCTTTTTTAGCTGTTGTTTTGCAATCCAGTAACTTTTTATTCCAATTATTCAAAACATCGGTGGTGTTGACAACGTGCAGCCATGCTGTCGAGCGAACTTGCCACCAAAACGATATTGATCACATATTCATATTAAAAGTAGAATTTCCAACAAAATTTGTTTCGAAGCATTTGAGGAAGCTGCTAAAGACAGTAAACAAAAGTAGAATTTGAAAACACTCGTCGAAATATCGCAAAAATGTCAAATGTTTGCAAAGCAAACAAACAGTAGAAGTCGAAGCAAATACACGCTGAATTATGCATTAAATAGCACTACAAAAACGCTCGCAAGTAACCAACAGCTTACCATAACATCAAATAATAGTTTGTCGTCGAATTTTTGGGAATTTGAAAAGATTTCCGTGTAATTAAAATCAAAATTTCACCGACTTACTGTTAAGCGTTCAACGGCATGTGGCTGTGAAAAATTATATGTTGGACGTGAGCAGTATGGTAAGCTGGTAAGCCAATTTCATTGGCTGACTTCAATGATCCGCCTTGTTTTTCCGATATATTTTTACGAACTTATTACTATTTGCGTTCAACTGGTAACAGTCCCGAATTTTTCGCGTTTGTTTACGTTTCAAAGTTCGTGTTTGTCAGACGAAACGTAGGGTTTCAAATTAGAAACGTAACGTTTGCTCAGGAATATTTAAAGTTTGAGGAACATTTTGAACCGGTTTTGGTCATGTGATTAACATGTTTATACGATTTCACAATGATAAAATGCTGTAGCAGCTGAAAATTACATCTGTATATCTTAGGCGATATGCAAAGTTTGATAATTGACCATATAATATAAGAAAGAGCTGTTACAAAATTTAGAAATCCGCGATTTGAACAAACGTAAGGTTTACCAGTTGAAACCTGACGTTTCGTCTGACAAAAGTGACGTTTGATACGTAAATAAACGCGAAAAATTCGGTGACAGTTACCAGTTGAACACAAATGGTAATAAGTGGCCAAATAATAAATAATAACTCACAGATTGCATGATAGTACACTGTTCATCATAAAGTTTCCCCATTTCTGTAAACTAGGCAGGATAAAGATGTTCCAACAACTTCTTTACACTTTTATGCCTTCTTCTTCCATAATTCAATACAAAATTTCAAGTCAGCCTAAAATTATAAACAATTTGACGATAAGGTGAATATTGAAGTCGTTAAAGCAGATATCGATAATAATAAAATAGATTCGAATAGATATCGATGATGATAATGAAGACGTTGATGCTGTCAGCGCAGAAATACAAGAAAAAGATGATGATATTTAAGGGTATGAATAACGATCACAATACACATTGTTCGAATGCAATCAGTAAAATATTTACTTTAGTAATACATAATGGACTTCATATAAGTTTTACCAATAAAAGAAGGATAATACATTTGAATATCATATGTGTGTACAAACCCGTAAAAGTAGCCTTACGATGATTGCTTGTAAGGAATTGACAATTGCGTTTATGGACAAGAACATACAAAAACGCTAACTGACAATTTGGTTGATGCTCAAACGTATAATTTAAAGAAGGTTGAAGAGAACAGAGTTTATGTAAAAATAAATGGCAATTTTTGTCGTTACGAAAAAGGGAAAAAGTGTCGTCAACGTAACGTTTGTACAACAGCACTTCCGCAGGCCCAGAAGAGGCGAAAATCTTACACTCATAATAGCATACAAAAATTTTTGCAAGTACTGGTCCAACAGGGAACCCATAGCCAACACATAAATTTTTTTGTACATGATATCATTAAAACTAAACTAAACTCTTCTAGTGGCCGCTAACATTAATTCTCTAAAAGACTCCTCGGATATGTGAGGTACAGCCATGTCCGAGTGAAAAAGATTATCAACACAGATTTCGACGGTTTTTTCTAAAAGCACCTTTGTAAAAAGACTGGTTACATCAAAAGAGCACATTGTCCGATTAGGATAAGCATTGTCAGATTAGGATGAGCATTGTCAGATTAGGATGAGCAGAATAATCTAGTTGTTCGAGTTAATTAGTAAAAGTAAATGAGCTTTTAAAGTGTGCATTGAAAACTTCTCTAAAACAGGTGAAAGTACAACTAACAGTAGTTTAGCTAACTCATGATGAGCTGAGTTAATTATGACAAGAATTAGTCAAAGTGGCGCTCCCTCTTTGTGGATTTTAGGCAATGCATACATACGTGGTCTTTCTGCACCAGTTAGGCGAACTAAATTATAAAAATTCTCACTGATTTGATTTGATTTTCTTAATTCAAAGAGAAGTGTTTGTAATATCCTTTCTATTGAAGAGGTTTTGTCGCAATCTGGCAATTTACCAAGCTTGCAAAATTTGTTCTTGTCGTACAAAATGTTTAGCATTTTGCTATTATAGTCCTCTCTATCTAAAATCCCTACACCAGAGCCTTTGTCTGGTTTGCAAATTACAATATCCTTATTTTTTTTCAAATTAGCTATCACCACATCACCATATTAAAATGATGACTCCTGCACTTGGAACATAGGACGTACGGTTATAAATTGTATGGATTGTATTGTAGAGTTACCTCAGTCACAGAATAGATACATACAGAAGCGCCACTCAGCAAAAAATCTGTCCCCTACTTGTACCCAGTTCTTAAGTGCGCATCTTTTGCGTCCGCCATTACTCCAGCCAGATAAACTGGCCAGAATGTACATAGATTAATATTATGAAGAGTTGTTTTTCGAAAATTTGACGAATTTAAATTCACTTAAGGACAAAATTTTTAATGCCATCGGATAGGATACCAAGCATATGAGGTGAGAAACAGTTTTGTTGTAAAATACGTTCTTCAAATATAATTTTACGGGTTTTATAGTTTCTTGCCTTGAATTGTATGCGAGATCCATGTTTAGAACGTCTCTTATATTGAACGGCAGTTGCCCTAAGAATTTATAATTTAGGACAAAAGTAATAAATATATTTAGTGTGATTCCGTTTCTGTATTTTCTAGTAAAGAGTTTCCTATTAGAATGGTCAACGGATTTGATAGAAGCGATAAAATGACCTACTGTGCGTAAAGAACGTTCTTCAGATGAAGACGTTATTAGTATAAAATTTGGACTAAACTAATTTATATTTGATTCTTGAATCGGGGCTTTTTATTTGCAATGTAGCTTGTCTGCATAATTGTAATTGAAAGTTTTTATTTGTAATTGTATATTGAGTTCCTGTGGCTATCATGTCTGTCAAATTTGTATTAACTTACAAATAAAGATGTTTTTTGTTGTCTTATTTTTAATAAACAATGTATGAAATTACAATTTTTTAAAGAATAAAGTTATTTATAAATTGTTACAATTAAATTAACAACTTTACCATTATGTCAAACATATTGTCAAGCTCCTACAGCTTACCTCATTGGTTAAACTTCACTTGTGAGTTGTGACCAAAAATTGTATGTGGAAAATGAGTAGAATTATATTTGATTCACCGCATTGATCAACCAGCAGAGAGAAATTATTGCAACAAAGGGCTCGAACATTTAATTTTTGCTAAAATCCGTAAACTTCATTCAGTAAATTAAAATTTTTATTGTAAGTAATCAGGTCACAAACAGAACTTATTCTGACAAAAACCAGTTATAGTTACTCTGAATGCCATTATTTAAATCGTAATACTTTACACAGTAAAATGTTTATCAAAAGGTGAAGCACAGATACACCAGAAAACTTTTTTAAAAAATTTGACAGGGGGAAACTGTGCCAAGCCAACACCAATCCAATTCACAAAAGCATTCAGGAAGCTTTTTTATGTTCACTTCTCACATCATCAATAAGCATCCATGTCAAATATATAAATAATCTCCTGATTGAACTTAAAAAGGCTGATCATAGGCTCATTTACTTGTTATGAGTACGAAAGTTTGGGTTTAATAATTGACCAACACTTATCTTGAAAGAGTAACACTGATAAAATTTGCAAAAAAGTAGCATCCGATATCTCCGCCCTTAGAAAATTAAAGCAATACACAGACAAGCAAACACTTATCTCTATTTATAATGCCCTGGTACATCCTTACTTCACATATTGCTGTGAAGTTTGGGGTGTATTGGGAGAAACTCAGTCCAAAAGACTACAAAAACTTCAAAATAGAGCTGCAAAAATTATCATAAGCATGGGCAATGATGTCGATTATTGTAACGTATTACAAGAATTGAAGTGGGAACCTCTTGAAATACTTAGAAAAAAAGCTAAAGCAAAGCTAGTGTTTAAATTATTAAAAAATGCTGGACCAAATTCACTTACTAGATTGTTTACCTATAAAAAATACATCACTGATTACAACCTACGCAATATTACAAGTTGTCTAAATGTTCCTATGCCTAGTAGTAACTCCTTGAAGAAAAGCTTTGCGTATGATGGGGCTTCTGTTTGGAATTCAATTCCAGCAGAAATCAGAAATAGCAAAAGCGTGTCACTTTTTCAAAAGAAAATTGCTGCTTGCATTTTATGATTTAGTTTAACATGTAACTGATGGAATAAACTAAACTCTGTAAATATTTAAACTTCTCTTCTGTAGATAATTTATTTCTTAGTAAATTTTGTAATTGTTATTGAACAAAAGCACGCCCCTTGTGGAAATCAACCCCATTTGACAAGGCCAGCGTGTCAAAATGAAGATTTTCATTCATTCATTCATTTAAAAAGGCAGAAATAACTAAATTAAGTCATGAGGACCATATAACAGTATATGTTTTACAAATTGCTATTTAAGCACTTTATTGGTGGAGGCCAACATGCTGCTGCTTATGTTCCAACTTGCTCAAAAAGTCATTCAAGCTTCACAAGTCACAACTGTGATGAATACAAAATATTTTGGCATCAGAGGACTTTCATAGTGGTCATGCAGCATCGTTTCGGATAGTTTAAAACACCTGGGTAGACAATTTTGGTGATTCGAATGTCCTGCCAAACGTTGTTTGCAATATATAAACTAACAGGAGGATAATTTGATTTGTCACTTGCTTCAGCCACGACCGAGATTTCAAATGTTAGAACAAATGTCTTCAAGATTCTCCGCAGAATTCTTATATGATAAAATTAAAACTGACGACAAACCATATACCAAGTACGCATCTCGTCGGATACATATCTACTTTGTAAATATTCCGAATAAACCCTCATTTATCAAAACGGACGTCGATTTAATGATAAATTGCTGAGAGCTTGATGTGTTAACTGTATCCACACAACAAAATATTAAAAAAATGGTCAATCTATAGAAATATTTGGGTTTATTTGCCAAAACCCATCCGTACAACTATATATTATATTACGATCTGGCTGCACTCATCTGGCTGGAAACTATGCCGCCGTTTAAAATAACCGGATTGTAGAACTCAAAACAGGGGACACGAACATCAAAGCTTCCGACATCGAGTGGCGCTTCTGTATGTATCTATTCTGTGCCTCAGTGCTCAAACCTATAAAGGTGAGCCTTGCATATCGCGAACACGGTGAACGTCTCCATATGAGACTCTCTACACAGCCCGACAGTGCTCAAACTACGCACTCGCAGTGAGCGTAATATACAAAGTGTATATACAATGTGCCTTCCCGGCTATCACCATATTAAAATGGTGACTCCTGCACTTGGGATACAGGACGTGCGGTTACACATTGTATGGATTGTATAGTAGAGTCATCACAGTGCTCAAACCTATAAATATATATATCTGGAAAGATAACGACATTAAATTTTATAGATATAAAATTGAAGCCAAAGTCCTAGTCTCTTGTGCGGTTTGTACGTCAGTTTCATTCCCCTGAGTGCCAAACATACACGGCCAATATAAATTTGAATACAAATTTCAAAAGCATAAACATATAAACTACATCTCGACAAACAACACACGAGGCCAACTCATCGCAAAATGTTATTTTTTACAGCTGAAACTTTACTACAGTGAGTTCGTTGTAACTTACAACTTGTAACGAGGAAAAGTCAACTGATAATTACACTGTATGCTAAAAAGACAATACAATAAGAAAATATGACGAGAAAATATTCAAGCAAAAATTTTCCTTTCATCGGAATGTAAATTTTCTTACGGTATCAGACAGTGTTTGTCTTTTTTGTCATTTCAGTGGATTTAAAGATCTGTTTTTCCGAAGAAAAAAGAAACTTGAATATCCAGTTTTATAAAAAGGATTGAGTATAAACCTCATTTTTACTTTTTACAGAGCGAAAATTTTTTGTCATTTTCATCGAATTTGATAGTGCTTGAAATGCTAAATGGTTGTCGTCTCGATGTCAATAATTGAATATCCTTAAAGACTTTAACATTGTTTGACAGTCATACATCGACTGTGTATGACAAAAATATATAGTAGCTATAATATGTTTTTATTCTATATGTAAATTTTTTCGAATAAAAATTCATACCAAAAAATCCTTTAAATTTATTTGAAAAACGTAATAATACTTTTGCACTGAGGATAACGTATAATTGAAATAAATATAGTTAAAAATGTTCTTCGTGAAGATAAAACTGAAAAAACTAGTAAAATGAAATCAACTGAGGTCAAATTGTATTTTTTCGGTCTAGGATCCGAAAAAATACGAATTGTTTATGAGCACGCGAGAAACACGAGTGATGACGAATGAGAACGACAAATATTTTTTTGGCGTAAGTTATCATTCCAGTTATTTAAAAATTGACTTCACTGGATCAAACAGCACGTACCAACTTCAATCGGAAATGGAATGGTCCCTTCAAGACAACAACCAAAACGTGATTGTAAGAAAAGTAATTTAGTTTCATGTGACTCCGCGATAGGTAAACATCTCTTGAATAACTCCTATTGTGCTGATTCATATTCGCACGACAATTTTAGAATCATTAAGAAATGCCGTTCATTCTTTCAGTTACGCGTCATGGAGGCTGTTTTAATTAAGTTAACCAATCCCATCCTCTGCCGACAAAAGGATTATGTTTATAACTTATCCCTGTTTTGAACGTCATCTCCCCTATTTGCTATCTTTAGAACTATTTTCAGATTTGTCACCACCACAAAGTCTCTACTTTATTATCTCTAATTTGTAAAGGCGATGAATTTCAAATGTTTTACCTGGTGAAGTTGCGCTTTTATCCAAGAGCATATTGTTTCAAAAAATAACAAAAGAAAAGACAAGGTTTTCTAAAATGAAAAACTAGTAGTCTTACAAAAACACTTACAATAGGCTAGAACTTTCAAAAGTATTCAAAAATTGAACCTGTAGAATATTAAATTTCAAAATTTTTCTGTTTTGTAAGTCTACGTGCTTACCTCTTTAAGCTTTATTAATGGATTGAAAAAGCAGCGAAGTATAAAGGCGTAAATGTAGCCCAACGCGTTCTTAAAAGAACCTTTAACATCGCTATCTACATGAATTTTTTCTCCTTCCAACGTATCTACCACTAGTTGACGAGAAATCTCGTAAAAACATATAACAGTAATTTTGAAACAAACGAAAATTTCCATGAAGTTACACGTAATAAAATGACATTGAAATGTTACTACAATACCTCTGATTCCTTCTTTAATTACGATAATCTTTGAAAACTGAAGAAAAAAATTTAAAGTTCCAATTATGGCATTATGTTCATATATGTTCGTGGGGAACACAGAAACAATCTTAAAATGTCAGCCAAAAAATTGACACCTTATGTTTACACGCGGGTCATTGTTCTGTTTGGCCGAACTTTAAGAACATTCCAAGTCATAAAAGTTATTTATCATTCAATGCTAACGAATAAAAATAAATAAACTAATTTTGACAATTGGTTATCATCTATATAAACAATTTATACGTATAGAAAAAGATGTCATCATTATCTAATAGTCTTGTCAATAAATCATGGAGATAAAATTTACACCTTTAAACCCCTCTAAGTATACGTACTACACCACTTCCAATATACTTCTATTTTCCTTTAAACACTGAAGCCCAATTAATATTTAGGGAAAGAACAATCCTTGACCATCTACTTCCTCCATGCTATCGACCTACCTTATCAGAATTTTCTGGCAATGCGACATTTGTCTCATCAAAACTTTTTATGGGCATAGACTGTCGTCCATTTGTGATTTGCTGAGAAGAACTGCATCAAAATCATGCAATTTGAAATCATACAATCAGAACACTGAAATCCAAGCAAGTAAGTAATTTTATGCAATAGTTGAAATTGTTAATCTTCAAATATATCATAGACGCTAACCTCCCCCTCTTAAATTACTAACCATCCCATTAATTTATTAAACTTAACGGTTACAGCGTTTGAATTGGTTGCTTAGCAAGGTATACAACATGAATTTAAAAAAAACTTAGCTGCAATTAATATTTCAGACAAAGGTATTGTGCTAGCAAATAAGGCATAGAACAACATTAAACATTCGTAGATTCTCTCGTTATTTTGTATTTTTCTTTTTCTGATTATGCATTAATGATGATAATATCGCGTATGTTGTCCTATAAAAACGCATGCATGTTTTAATCTTGCTACAGGTTTAAATGTTATCACTCTACCTTAGAATTGTTGTTTAAACAAGACGAGTGTCGTTGCTGTTTGGAGATTGTGAAAAGCTTTTACAAAAATGTTAATTAAATACTTTTTTCTTTAAGATACATATGCATGTTGTTCAACGCCTAATGTTGAAAAGATGCAATTACTGTTGCAATATTCATGGAAAGTTTAAAGAAAACATTTGAAAGTCAAGTTAAAAAGGCACAAAAATATCATTTTTTGATTTTTCAGGAGCTGAGCATGTAGCATCCAAAATATGCTGAATAAATGAAAAAAAATGCAACTTTTGCAACTGTAGCAAACTAATGTGCTTCTTTTTTCTCAATTACGTACAAAAGAAAAATTGCTAATAACCGCAGAATTTTACCAGACGAATTCCGCTACTGTTTATTTGGTCTATCTACGCTTTTATGCAAGTTTCTTGGCGTTCACTGACTGTATAGTAATGCATTTAAAAAGAAATAGATAATAATGTTCACGGCGAAGTTTCATTATTATATAGCAAAAATAACTTGCAAACTTGCGCATGCAGCTATGATCTGTTTGCATCCAAACTCCTTTGCATCGTTGCTAACAGCTCGCTCAAAATATTACTTGGTGTTTAAGTTAATGGGTGAACTTACAATCATATTCGCTTTTGTCATTGATTTTCGTGTTTGAATTGAAAAGAAGTACAGAAATATTAATTTCTGTTCTAAAATTTGGCAAATGTACTTAATCAACTACCGTCTACAAGATTTTGCATAGAGAATAACAAAGATTATAACTGTTGGAATAACTACTCATATTCAGCGTATTGGTATTAAAAATAGGTAAGCAGTTTATGTTATAGTTGCTTTTATATATTTGTAGATGTTGATTGCCCAGGTTTGTAGAGCTCTGAAAAAACTGTTAATGTTCGTGTTGACTGACGTTTTGACAATCTTAGCGGTAGTCATCTCTACAAACATATAACGATACTCCGGGGTTCAAGCCATTCATCTTAATGCGGATTTTGCCGTCAGTCCCCTTTCACCTTTTCTCTCGATCCCAGCGTTGCCGTATGGCAACATGAAGAAAATCATCAAAAACTCAAAGGAACAGAAACTTAGAAAATGAAGGGTTAAGAAAGACAGTCTTATCTTAATATCGTTACCTTGTTAATTTGGTTATTCCCTTCTGTTGATGATAACATCATATTTTACCTTTAATGACATCATGAAAAATGAACACCTATCAATAAACTGAAGAGCAAAAATCTCTACAAATTTATCTTACATTTACAATGAAGATTGCTTTGTCAAACGTTACTAAAACGATCTGTTTAAAGCTGAAATGTTTGCTTTCTCTTCTTTTTCTTAGCAAATTATAGGACAATGCTTCGAGCTCTTGGTCGTAAATTTTGCAAATGAAAACGGCTATGAAATTAAGTTGTAATTATGACTTAACAAAATATATTTGTGTCGTGATGCTTACGTGATGAAGAATCTGAACATATAGAAGTATATGCCTGGCTTCGTGTTGTAAAATACCAAGGTACGCCACTTTTTGTAATACCTAAAAACTAAGTACAACTGAGTTCAAGTTTTGATGATTATTGTTATACATTAGCTGTTTTACACAAAGCGATATTTTTACTTGACAATCTGAGTTTTACAGTAGAATTTTAAAAACTACACAAAATGATATCTTTATAAATATGTTTCTCAAATTCTCTTCCACCGTTTCAGACTATCTGTGATTCAGTTTTATCATATCATTTCAATTCGCCCTTTAGTTCTTCTTCGCCTAGGCCTCCTTATACCGACTTGCTACGTCGACGACCGTTAATGCGTATTTGAATGTGCGTCTTCGGACTCGATCGTGAGGCAGATACAAGAGATCGGCCTGGTGGACCTCATTCGGGGTGCTGATGTCAAACTTAGGTCGGGGGATAGCACTTGGTGCGGGCAAGTAGATCTGCCAGATGGCCTGTTTTGTTAGCCATTCATGAGCCTCATCCTCGCTGACGCCAGCGTCTTTAGCCAGCTTTGGGATAGCAGCACGGCCGCCCCAGTACCCTGCAGGACTGTAGTACGCCTCTGCGAGGCGTACTACAACGCTTCCCTCCGTAGAAACGATTATTTTTCCTCCATTATGACGAGATTCGCTTTGGGAAAGAAACCTAGAAACAGCACTAACACATACACCACAGCGCCCTCCAAGTCTGGGGCTGCCGTTATAAGTTACAACTATACCACTTATAACTGGTTGCAGTCTTTTGCAACGCATACAAAACGCGACCGTCATTTTCACATGACTATGTGTTGTGTTCACCAAGCTTTTCTGATTTTATTCGCGGCTTTGATTGCCAAATCAATTGGATTAATACTGAATGGAAGCGCACTATTCAAACCTCTTATTCTCTCTCCTTTTTTATCCAGAAGTTCACTTTTAGAAAGAAACTTGGAGACGCCTCTGTCACAGATTCGGCAGCGCCCCGTGACCCTAGGTTGGCTTTTTGTATAGGCAGGTTGTCGTTTCTTACAGCACAAACAATAAGCGATGGCCAACTCTATATAATGCACAAATAATTAGTCTGTTAGTCTGATATTGTAAAAATGCATCGCGATGTTAGTTATTAGCGCGCTCTTAGAGTTTCTCTAGCAAACCGTTTTACAATACGCTCATTACGCGCAGAAGGGCGCGAATCGAAATCTAACAGAATATCTGTCGCAGACCGATTGTGAACCCGATCGTGTAAGAAGAGAAGGCAGTACCACCAACACGTAATGGAGCGACTACAGGCAGTAGAAGCTTTCAGGAAAGTTGGTACTCTAAGAAAGATTGGCTTTGTGGTAGCTCAGAAAAGAATGAATTGTTCTGTTGGCCTTGTCTTATGTTTTGCCCTGTATCGTCATCTTCATGGACGCAGACGGGATTCAAAAACATGAAGAATTTCCTATCCGATTGTAAGAAGCATGAGAAGGAAAAATCGCACATGGGTGCTTACAAGACCTGGAAGACCTACGGTTTTCAGCCTCGTGTCGACTGTCTCATGTCACAAGCTAGACATGATGAGATTCAGCGTCATAACGAGGAGGTAAGGCAATACAGGGAAATGTTGAAAACCATAACAGAAGCTGTTTTATACTTGTCTAGGCAAGATCTTGCATTTAGGGGGCATGATGAATCTAGTAGCAGCATGAGTAGAGGAAATTATAGAGAGCTACTTGAAAATTTTGCCAAGATGGATTCTGTTTTTGAAAGGCGATTACATGGCAGGCTTCCTGAAACCCACCTTGCTGGGGGAGGGCGGTTTACTGGAGTTTCTCCTGATATTCAGAATGATTTGATTGATTGTCTTGATAAGATAATAGAGGATGAGATTTTAAAGGAAATAGATTGCTGCACTTTCATAAGTTTACAGGTTTATGAGGCAACTCATGTTTCTACCAAAGAACAATTGAGTGTAATTGTTCGAATGGACAAAGGGGAAAGTGTCATTGAAAGACAGCTTGGGTTTGTTGATGTTAGTTGTGATAGGACTGCAACTGCTATATCATCAGTGGTTAAGGGTAAGTTAAGTCAATATAATAATGTGAAAGAGAAATTTATTGGACAGACTTATGATGGTGCATCTGTTATGTCTGGTCATCTCAATGGTGTTCAAGCTCAAGTTCAGCAGGATTATCCTTATGCTCAATTTGTTCACTGTGCTGCCAATAGACTAAATCTAGTATTATGTCAAGCTGCATCCTCCATTTCACCTGTTAAGATTTTCTTTGTTAGTATTAGTGCTTTCTGCACCTTTACAAGCAATTCCCCCAAAAAGAAAAGCTTCACTATCATCCCATAGGCTTGAGTTTCCTAGTCCTGGTGACACAAGAGGGTATTATAGGGCTCATGTCATCAATGTCTTGCATTCTAACTATGAGAAACTGATAGACATATTTGAAAATCTTATTGATAATCCAATAGGTTGGGATGATGAAACGTTAAGTAAGACTACTGGTTTACTTGGCTACCTTAATGGCTTCTTGTTTTGTTTCTTGGTACATGTTTTCAGAGAATTTTTGAGCAGTCATCTATACTTTATTCTATCTTGCAAGACAAGGACACTGACTCTCATTATGGAGTGAGTAGGGTTGAGAGATTCAAGGCCTTTGTTGCTTCTCTGAGAAATGATACAGAATATTGTCAGGTGTACGACCTGGCTGATGAGAAAGTGTGACCACCAGTAACCAGGTATGACCAACGGCATAATTACAAATTGTGACTATGCTGACTGAGCGATTTCAGGATATAGAGCGTTTTAGATTTTTAGCCCTTGTTAACCCTAAGGTGTTTAAGATGTGGAAAGGTGAAGTGCCCTGAGAAAATATAAATCTTCTAAAGGAGGTTTATGGTGATATGTTTGACATACCAATGCTAGTTAGCAAACTTTGTTTTATTTACAGAGATAAAGACTTTCACCGTGATTCATGCGATGAACTATTGAAATATATTTTTCAGCTCCATCTACAATCTAGTATTGCAGAAGTTGTAAATCTGTTAAAGATAAATGGGGTTTTGTCAATTACAAGTGCTTCAGTTGAGAGGTCATTTTCTTGTTTGAAGAGGGAAAAAAATTATCTTACAAATACTATGAGCCAAGGACGTTTTTGTTCTCTTTGCAGGATTTCCATTCACAAAGACATATTGTCAGGAAAGAAGACGCCAATTTGCATGATGTGGTAGTAAAGAAGTTCATTGAAAAACCACGAAAACTTGCTTTCTTATACAAATAGGTATTCATATATAGCTGATAGCAAGCTGATGATGTCTTACGTCCATGCCATGTGAGATTTTTTCCGGGAACTTTTTAATGCAGGCAATGATGACTGTCATTTCAGCACGACAATGAACGGCATCACAACTTTTGATAGTTGTTGATGACAAATCTGATCCTTTTCGGTTCTTTTGTCAAAGTTTCTTTACAAGATGTACATAGGTATCTATTTATGTATGTGGTGTTGAGAAAATAAATGACATATCTGCAACTATTTTTGAACTGTTTCTCTGCTTTACTATAAGATCCTTCGGCAATTTAAATTAAGCAAAATGGTTCTATTTCCTGCATAAATATCACGCATTTGCTTTCTAAGATAGTCGTTTTCGACGTTCTAGGGAGTCTAAATTAGGAAAATTTTATCGCTCGGCGCCAACCATGGTGGCGCCTCGTGAGCCCGACCAAATGTTTTTCGCTAGCTACGCCACTGTCTAGAACGACCTTTCTTACCAGAGCTACTACCGAAACCAAGACGACTGTGATTATACTCAGGTGTATTAAATGGTGTGATACCTCTTCTCCTAACTATACCACTACCAACTACTGCTTTTTGTGTGATGCCGGTGATAGCACCTGATATAGCTGCTAGGCCTAGAGACGGTAACACTTTTGGTATGAGTTTAGTGACCGTAGGTATGGGTTTTCCAACAAGATTTCCAATAAAGCTACCACTTTCTATAATTCTTGACCCAGGAAGATAAATACCAGCGCCTTTAAATTCCTGAGTCATTACTCGCTCCATGGCGGGTCTGAGAGCTTCAACAAATATTGGGTTATCAATGTCCGACATTTTGTGCACTTGTAAAACAATTTGCCTATAAATATCAACATATCACATCTGACCAAACTATTATATTATGTCCATTTTACCGTCAATAGCATTGAGCCGAAGGAAACGCTCGCTAAGTACGAAGCAGTACACGTGGTACGCCTGTTCACCACCGGCATTAATAGCACTATTAAAAGGGCCACCTAAGGTCCAACGAACATCAATGTTTTCCGGAGCTTTATTCAAAGCTTCAGGATGATGACTAACGTCAAAGTGGTAAATAGGAAAGAGGTTTGCGAAGTCTCCTAAGCTTACTTGAGAGCCTGTATCCGGGTCGCTGTATTTCATCGCAGCGTCTTGGAACATCATGTAAGCCCTGCTGTAATTTCTTTAGCATCTGCGTAATTGACTTCAAGCTCTTCTTCAGGATACTTGTGATTGTTATTAACCGCACATGAATCTGACACAAATTAGCATTATCAAACACATGTATAGTTTGTTCTTGATTGTCTATGCGCTCTGCATCTTGGAACGCTACGAAGATGTGTGTTGGTAGCTCTTCACTTCCGTTTGTCGTCACACGCCACGAGATTTTGGTTTGACCTCTGGTGAATCTCTCTCAGTAAATACGACCTTTCTCAAAGTATAGCATGCGTGTGCATACCAGCAACCAACTTGCTTTATATCTGGTTTGAACTTCGATCGAAGGTCTGATGAAAGGAACCCAGAGCGAAAGATGTTTTATCTTAAATTTTCCAGCATCTACCCCATTTACTCTATGAAGCGAGTTTTCAGCAGAGCGCGAGTGAGATTCAGATTGAACTTTATACCTATGAAAGCTGAATCAATGTCTTTGACGAAGCCTAGGATGTCAGCGAGGGGAAGCATCATGGTAACGTCTTTGGCGCCCGCGCAGAGCTGGCGGCGACTGGCGAAACTAATGTTGAAGTTAGGGTTCTCTGTTGCGTTGAGGTTTAAGTTAAAGTTAGCCCGGAAATTGCCGCCATTCAGAGCGACACCGTTACCTACGCTAGCAGTAGGAAGCAACTGAGCGGTAGTTCTGTTCACAAACTGATTAGGATTAGGTGCACCAGTTCCAGTGTCGCGGTACCAGAAAGCACTCGTGGCAGTGCTCCAGGACGAATCATCCGAATCAGTTACAAGCCGCATGATCGTGTTGACAGTTGAAGCTTACTGACTTATTTCTTTAACGGTCTTTTTGTTAACCTGGATCCGGACCGTCTCAAACAGGCTCCAGCCACCATTTTCCAGAGCGAAATTGTCGGTGGCATCATAATTGGTGCCATCGTTCTTTACCACGCGACCTCGGACTTCAAGAAGGGCTCTGTGATGCTATATAAGCTGGTCAGCGTTCTCAGTGTCGATATTGATATTCTTATTATCGACATTTGGATCGCGGGGAAGAACTCTTTCGTACTGCAGACGCTAAACAGAGCGGTCAACGATGGGCTCGTCAAAGAGTCGAAGTGCTGGGAATATCATGTCCGTACCCATTGTTATGATAGTTTGTACTTCGTACAGTATATATATACTATAAAAAATTTGCGTCTGCCGATCATCAGACTGATGTAGTTTAATTTTTATTTCTGATGTTTAGTCCGATGTGATATTTAGTCTGATGTGATGATTACTCCGATGTGATATTTAGGCATACATCATGCCGTTACCTGACACGAGGTTGCTTAGAATACCTAAGTCTCGAGAAGTCAGCTGTTGCTTAGCAAGGCTTTCAGCGCGCGATACTAGAGCTTTTCTAGCTTCAGAAGTCTCAACCTGCTCATTAAGTTTAGCTCTAGCTTCTTTCGTTAAAGCAAGGCGAGTACTTTTTGCGCACGTTTTTACAGTTCTAATACCTGCTTCAGCCCCAGCACGAGCCACTGCAGATGCACGTGATTTAGCTTTTCTTGCCACTCCTTTAACATTTCCGCGGGCGAGATCGGCAAGAAGACTGCTTATGTTTTCAGGCGAGGACTGCTCTTTTGCAGTCGATATAGCAGCTTCTTTGGCTGCTGTAGCCGTGTCACGAATTGCTTTTTTACCAGCCGCCACGGCCACATTCTTGATTTTTGGAGCAAACTTGCCTACGCGAGATCCTAAGGCTGCAGCTGCGGACTTACCCGCACTGAATAGCGCACCCTTTGCCTTACCAGCAAGGCTCACGAGGTTTCCAATCAATGACCCCCCGACAATTTTTCGACGAACTATACCACGTATAATCATAGGAATTAACATTTTTCCTAGTATATTATATATATGGAAAAATAAGCCATTATAACAACAGCTTCAGAATCGGAGTCCGCTTATGAGCGTGTATAATCACATTTTTGGACGGATGTTTAAAGTGTAAGTTAATTGCTCACCATTTAAATCAATTTTATTTCCTGACTGATCAGTGATTTCCATTCTCACTTTAGTAATAAGGCTAGTTTTTATGAGGGGTAAGTACGTCGGTGGACTAGGACTTATTTTCAACAAACGTCCTGGTCCTCCGTTTGGAGTAAACGATTTAATAACATCACTAGGATTCCCGTTTACTATACTTGAATTAACAAGCGAGCAGTGAATATGGATCTTCTGTATATCTGTAATGTTAATTACAGATTCTGACTTAAAGTCTTTCCTCTAGTAATATCACCTCCACCCACAGCAAACCCAAGAATAGGGCCTATGCTGTTATCTGTGTTAAAGGAAACTACAAGGTCACCTTTAACAGTAATCGCAGATTTTGATGTAGGAATATTTACTGAAAGCACAAAGGGTGGATCAGGTCTCGTGATCTCATCTTCATGTGCGAACTTTACCCCCAATGATTCCATAGCATCTTCAATAGCTTGATTGATGTCGCGAATTTTGTAAGCGCCTGGGGGTATTGTGATTTTTTGCCTCTTAATTGGAGTCTGTTTAAGCTCTCCTCTCTGTGCACCATCAGTATCGCCATAGTTTCCTCTTCTAATCTCAAACAATAGTTGATTGCTTTTCGTAGTGACATTTTCCCACGAATTCCACAAACTAGCTTCAGTATGAGCCACTTGATATTTTTTGTTAGCCTCTAAAGGTATAGGTGGCCTAAAGCCAATTTGAAAGTCATTCGCTTCTCCACCGTGCGCCGCAATGGCTCTTGTTGAGTCTATCTCGATGCTGATTTCGTCTTCTAATACTCCAGCCATTATGGTTATATTGATAACACTAAACGTAACATATCACATCAGACTAAGCAATAGCTATGTATAATATAAGGAGAAATTTTAATTTTTTTCTAATTTATTACGTATTTATTTCTAATTTTTCGTTAATAACTTTTCGATATCGCACTTTCGTCTGTCAGTTTTTTTAGAATCGCTTCAATATCGTTTTTCAACTCACCAGAGTCATTACCAGCCTCTACAGACTTGCAGGAAAGATGAAGGCGGTCGATAAGTTCTGATGGGCTATTATAATAGTGCACTCCAGTTCCTGTTCGTGTTTTTTTAAAGAGTTGTTTGGGGCGACTTCTTTTTTCTTTTAGAGCATTATAACGTTCGAGGTTTTTTTTAACTAGCTCACGGTTAGCTGGAGAAGCGGTTTTTCTTGTAGACGGGTCGATAGATTTTCCAAGATTTTCAAAATCTACGTCGTTTATATACTCACCAGCCTCCAACCGATCAAGCAAATTTGAATTCTCTATAACCTTCCAAGATGCTTTGTCTTTTGTTAACAGGACTAGATCATCTAGCCGTTGGACAAACTGCTTTTGAGTGTTCTCAACCGCTTGAGTGACCTCTTGCAACCCTTCAATTTCTTCGTCTTGTTTTTTGTTAATAGCTTCTGCTACAGATTTTTCAGCATTAACAATTGGCTCATACGCCCTTTCAAACAATTCTCCTTCGTGCTGTCGAGACACTTTGAAATCGACTTGGCGCCGCTTGAGTTCCGCGTGGTTTTTTACAAACTCTTGGACTAATTTTTCGCGCTCTTCCATAGATGCAACTGACCTGAACATACTTGAACTTCAATCTCAAGATAGATGAAGATAGATAAAATATTTTTATCTTACTATATAATAGGACAAAAAAATGGACGACCCGTATGGTGTAATGAAAAATTATAATCTACCTGAAATACAGTCCGTGCTAGCATCTATTGATTCACAATCTGAAGATAATAAACCACGTTTTACCCTGCGAGCGCCTGTTATTAATAGAGAGGAATCGGATGAAGAGTCACGTGATACAGAAAAATCGTCTATAGAACCTCGCGAGAAGTCACGTGACTCTCATTTTTATAAGGTAAAAACGTATATGTATAAAATCTGCTCTAAGCACAAAATTCCATTCAACGTAATTCAATTGAACCATGTAATCTGTATGGCGGCTGATGTGTCTTGGTCTACTGGAGTGCCTTTAAATTACCCCTCTTTCATAGCAAAGTTTGTTCCGATTTGTCAAAAATACGACGCCTCGGGTTGGCCTGCTGAAACCGTCAAAGCTATAATGCAGGCGGTTACTCCTCATCTTCCAAAATATAAAAGAGCCAACAAGAATAAGTTTAATGATGCCTTCAGAGAATGGATTACCGCTTCGGGACTACCATAATTCCGTCAAAACGCTTCCGATAGAGAATAGGAACCTCCTCTGCAGTACGATCGATTATAAAGTAGTCGTACTTCTTTTCAGTGGCTTCATGGTAAGCCGCCGCTAGCTGCTCTTTTGTAATACCATCAGCGTGGTCAGCTGCGATTTCTCTCACGTCGCGCTGGTCAAGACCTCTCATAAGCACAATACAGCCGGTATTTCGTCGAATATACTTGGGGACGTCATAGTAGCTTTGCGTAAGTATATGGCTGTGACATTCTTATGTCGACTTGCTGAGAAATACTCTTTGATTGGGTTTAAGCTTTTTGAATCCAGCCGAATCTCGTCAAAGACTACTGTCTCGGGATTAGTGTCCAACTCCTCTACTGTAATTACATCATCAGGCTCTCTTAATTCAACACATTCTTCCAGGCAGATGCTTTCGTAGAACTCTGATAGAATCTGATATTTTTCCTGGTCGCGACTTGTTGTGTAAATAGTTAATTTAGGGAAATCAAGCCAACTCATAATCATGTTAATTAAAAGGTTTGTTTTATCGGAATTAGTAGGGCCTACGATCAGATAATGGCTTTCGGGCATCATCCAATGGTGGCGCTTTGATTTTTTAGCTGTCGGTGGGTCGAAATTTATGAGAGCCATATCACATCACATCAGACAAACAGACCAATTTTTCTGCATTTATATATATAGTACTGCTATAAAATGGCAACTGCAAGCGTACCTCCAGTCGAGCCAGTAGACGTTCCTAGGCCAGTTCCACGTATATATCCGGATTTAAAAGGTAAATATGAATACCAATGGGTAGAAGACGTTCTTTCACCCCGTCCATCAGTCGAAACGAGCAACTTTCGCCTTGTTCGCATTTCAAACATTGAGGCAGAGCTCCGCCAAGAGCGTGAGGTGTGAGGTTCTAACTGGTGTGGGCCGCACTTGAAGCTCTTGCTGTCGCTGGCGTGGTAATCTCAGGTGTTGGGCATGTTGTTCGTAAAAAGCTCGAGAAAAAGGCTAGAAATCACGACCGCAAAGCCCATTCTGCTGCGACGATTCTGATGACTGTTGGTGATATTACGTCACGTGCTCTCAGTGACAGCCGAGTCTCACATGAAGATGTTTGAACAGGTTCTAGATCGAATGCGGCGTTTTAACGATTGTAAAAGCGTTATCCAAGATGAATTCGACGCTCCGATGCATAAGAAACAGGCTGCCCGACTCAAAGAGAACTTGGAGCGTGAAAAAGAAGAAGCTGTTGCCGCCGCTGCTGAAAGCGCACGCCGTGAAGGTAAAGCTCAAGCTTTCAAAAAAATCGCGGGTCTGGCTGGAGGCTCGTCATAGATTTCTCTCGCGGTCAAATATAAATCCAGTAATTAATAAAAATTTTTTCTATTATATATAGTATGTATATAAACATCGCATCAAACTAATGGCAACTTTAGTAATCGGTGGAACTGATGATGATTATGGATCTGGAAAACCAGCACCACCAGGGCCTAGAGGCCTAAGAGGAGCTAAGGGAGATAAAGGTGACCCTGGGGACAGAGGGCCCAAAGGAGATACTGGAGCCACAGGGCCTCAGGGGCCTCAAGGGCAACAAGGCGGTAGAGGTCTAACAGATCCTAGAGGTCCTCAAGGGCCTAAAGGAGATACTGGAGCCACAGAGCTTCAGGGGTCTAAAGGAGATACTGGAGCCACAAGGCCTCAGGGGCCTAAAGGAGATACTGGAGCCACAGGGCCTCAGGGGCCTCAAGGGCAACAAGGCATTAGAGGTCTAACAGGTCCTAGAGGTCCTCAAGGGCCTAAAGGAGATACTGGAGCCGTGGGGCCTTCAGGACGTCAAGGACCTCAAGGACAACCAGGAGCTGATGGGCTTAAATGAGACCAAGGAGATCAACCTGTTTTGAACTCTCCTTATGGATTTTACCCACCAAATATGAGCGGAGTAAATGTAACTTTAGTAACGTTTCCTACTGGAAAAACACTCGAAAATAATAAAATAGCATTATTAAACACTTGGTTTGAACGGTCTCAAAACGAGTGGTTTAATATTAGATCCACCGTATTTCAACAAAATTGGGGACCCTATGTTAGTTTCGTACATGATACCACTAACAAATTGATGTCATATGTTAGTACAATTCCCATTAACTGGACGCGAAGATATGAGGTACACTATTTAGAGTATTCTTAATTGTAAATCAATAAATTTTTATAATATATATAGAATTACAATGTCTAACGCAGCTGAAACTCCAGTTCATGAATTTGAATCAACAAATGATCTCTTTCGCCGAGCAGTAGAAGTATACTTACGACAAAATAGAGAGAAAAATTTTGAAAAATTCCAACTAGAATATAACTCTAGTGTTGAAAAAATAGTCATATCTTCTTGGAACTATTCAGACGTAGATAAACCTACGCGTGAGGCTCTCGAAGCTTTGCTACATCCGGCAAAAAACAAACAAGCCCGTCGTGTAAAACATCATAGAAGACGTGAAAAACATAAAAAACGACTAGAAATTCCAGTAGACATGTACACTCAAGCTGGTACTTCAGTCACTGGAAAGAGGTTCAGATTGGACCAATGTCGCGATGTGTGAAAAAAGTGAAGAAGATTCTTCTACAATCACCATCGAAACCGCTGGATTCTACCGAATATCACTAAGTGGAAAATGTTTTACAAGTGCAGGGGCGCTACGAGTACTTCAATCTCCTAGCAAATTACTTGTCTTAAGTAAAACAAAAACACATCGTATTGGTGATATCAACTCTGAATGTAGCTATAGCGATTTTATAGATGTAGACTTACCTGCTGATGCAACATTAGTTGTTCAACAGATGGGAACTGCTAGAGTAATTATCACACTCACTATAGAAAGCATAATACCCGAATCTTCAACGATTCCTTGATGAAAATTTGCTACACGAAGCGCTAGACGATTCCAAAGGCTTTCCTTCATTATCTAGAAATGAATAAGAACACTTCACCAAACGGTGAACCGGCCGCCGGAGGCGTCGGAGTTTTAGTTTTTGGAGGAATTGCACTTAGAAACTGAAGTGCGTTATAGTGTATTAACGCTGGGTCACTCATATTTCAATACGCAGCTTCCCAACCTACAGAATTTGTTATAACGGGTGGTCTACTTTCTATTACGTCATTAGGCTTAATAGGTCTGCAATTACGGGGTGCCGAAGGAGGTTCAGGTGGAGCTGTATTAGTACGCTTTCTTGATGTAGATGCTAGTGGTTGAAAAGCTTCAAGGAATGAGTTTAGAGCTCTTCCACTTATAACACCCTGTTTATATAGTAGCAGAATCTCTCTAACAGTGTCCATCTCGATTCTATATACTATATAAATATTATTCATCTAATTGTATCGTACCTGTCTGTATTAGCAGCCTGGTTTGTAATTTAAGATGTTCTTCTCTTTGTCTTATTATTTTATTATTCAATTTTTTCTCTCTTTCTCTTCTCTCTTTTTGCTCGTCTTTTGGATTCACTATTCATCTTAACACGTACCCTACTATACGCTACTTCTAAATAATAATAACATCAGAACTAATAGACCCTGATGGCCGGCCACGCGGGTGCGGGGGGTGGGCCGGCCGTCTTTGGTTCCTGCCTTTGTCCTGGGTTTGACATTCGCTGTAATTATGCTAGCATACGTACGCGAGCTAGGGCTGAGGCGCTTAGATTTGTGTATTATAGGTCTCAAGGTGTGAGGTGGGCCAGAAACGACGCTCTGTATACTACTAAAGTCAACTGAAAATTGACTTTAAATTTCACAAAAGCGAGTCTACTGTGGTTGCTAGTTGTCAGCTTCTACGACGGATGCCTTTTTTAATTATTGACGAACGAAATATTTGTTGGGCACATATGAATGCAGATGTGCCGTAACTGTCGTTCAATGATTTGCTCGATATCAAAGTTTGTAGTCTGCACGAAACAAAATATATCATATTTTATCTCAGCAGATCACGAGAGAAATGTTAGCTCATTTATTCTCATTACTTTTTTGCTTTCTTTCATGTAATGGCCTTTTTCGCAACAATTGTAGGATTTGTTTTTGTACATGCATCTCCAGTTTTTATAGAACTCAATGTCTGAAATGCTTTGAATAAATCCGCTAATAGTATAGTAAACTTACCGTTCGTGCAGAAACTCGAGCTTGGAGCAAGAGCATTCAATGATTGTTTAATATTGAAAGAGGGTTTTTTCTACAAGCTTGCTACTAGGCTTTGTAATGTGTAGACAAAGAAAACATATGTACCTTAAATCACAGATGCAAAGATTGATGGGGAATTGTTTCCAACACAGGGCAGAGTTTCGTGATATGTTCAAGACTTTAAGACAAAAGCGTGCTGCTATTGAACTTTGGTCTAAACTTTCTGGCATGGTACGTGAGCACTTATAATAGATCAACCTTATTGTAAAAACTTTTCAGTATGTAATGTTTATACCGCTATCAAAATTGCTATAGATGTGTTCAAGCAGTCAAACAGAAAGGGGGCCCTATGTTAATAAAGGAGCTATAATTCAAAGTTGTTAAGATAAGATTTGCACTATATCTTTACTATAAAATGAGTATTACCATGTATACTACTCCATTTTTGTTTCTCACATAACCAAAAGTAACTTGTGCACCAAATAAAAGCATAGGCTTTGAAGGCATTATTGTTCAGTCTCGATTTCTGTTGTGTTCGGTCACCTGTCTCGATTAGCCCATATATGGTTATTATAGGTGGCCCTCACTCCAAATTGAAAAAATTGTAATATGGACTTGTAATAGTGTGTTTGTAAGAACTTCAAGAGTGAAAATAAAATTTTATTGTTGTTGTTATTGTTGTTGTTGCCTCAAGCTTAATTTCTAAAATTTGTGATTGTCTTTTTATCGTAGAACGACGCTTTCCTTGATGAAAAGCAAATATAACATTATGGTTGTGGATGACCTCTATAAAGGCGACGTTGTATATGATGTTGCAGAAGAGAAAGTTTTATGCAATATAACAACAGGGATGCTCTGGATGCTTGGTTGACATGACTTAAATGGGAATTATTCCAGAGAAATGCCTATATTCTGTGCAACGTTTAGTTGGAGTGTTATCAACTGATGAATGCACATGGCTATATAGATTATGTTTTATTTCAATTCTTTTTTTGTGAAGTTTAATTTTAGTGAGATGAAAGTATGTCATGTAAAGTATTTTAATGAAGATGTCAAGCACTTATGTGCTTATGTATATTATACGAGTCTTGTTTATTATAAGCTTTCAGTAATTTCAATTCTTTCCAGGGCACGGGGCTGCTTTTTAGCCATTGCCGATTTGATGAGATAATGGGGCTAAATTGGCTATTCTACGTAGAGCTAAATTTCACACTAAAGGGGCAAAATAGCTCGCTATGGGGCTAAATTGGTCATCTTACCTAAGGCTGTTTCAGCTACGTTTTTGGGTAAAATTAGCAAAATAAACGGGGCCAAATTTGGCACCTCTTAATAGGGTCAAAATTGGCTCTAAATTATGGGGCCGTTCTGGGGTCAATATTTTTGCCGCTTTTGGGGGCTAAAATAGCCCTTTTCTTTTTACTGTGAAGTTTTCAATTAAACTAAATGCAAGTTTTCAACTAGACTAAATACAAGTTTTCAACTAGACTAAATACAAAATTTCAACTTTACTAAATATGAGCTTTCAACTATACTAAATACAAAATTTCAACTAGACTAAATACAAGTTTTCAGCGAGACTAAATGCAAGTTTTCAAAGAGAATAAATAAAAGTACAGGTTTCGTTGTGTTTATGTTTACACGAATAAGATATAATTGATGATTTTCGATCGCATGCTAAGCCAACTGATCGAAGTGGCTGAGTTATTTTGTAGTTATCATACGAACACACAAAACGGTATTGTTTGCCATCGTTCGCCTATACGTTTAAGTTTGTACAAACGCATCTATTGACATTTTCGCGGTGAATGTCTTCATACATCTTTTCACATTTTTTCGAAGAGATATCTTTCCAAGCGATAGTAATGACATATTTTCCATCCTCTTCCCTTTCCTCTTTCCTTTCCTCTTCCATTTCCTCTTCCCTTTCCTCTTCCCTTTCCTCTTCCCTTTCCTCTTCCCTTTCTTCTTTCCTTTCCTCTTCCCTTTCCTCTTTCCTTTTCTCTTCCTTCTCCTCTTCCTTTGTTTTTAATACGTATATATATAACTCTAGAATATTGCCCTTAATACTGATGGGTTCCAACTCTAGAATATTGCCCTTAATACTGATGGGCTCCAGGGTACGTCGCTGTAGGTCGAAAAGGTGAACCTCTTCACCTTTAGATACTATGCTGATAGCATGACTCTCTTCATTTGTCGTATAACAGAGAATACCGCAAGCACGTTTCAATGTTTTGAACTGCTCTTTCGCACTCTTCTCTGTACGATCTTTGATGTCTTCCTTGCGTAAGTACCCTTTTTTTTCTAGAGTACGTAGCCAAAGCGGACATCGCACCATGTCCAACTTTTTCAGTTCGTTTTGCATCATAAACAAACCATTGCGTACAGACACCTTTATCGTCTCTATAAATTTTTTAAGTGAGTCTTCTTCTGCAGGAATAAGAACATCCTTTATTGATTTCTTTATTACTTCTACGTTATCGTTAACAATTTTGTCATACAAAATCTTTTCCAATTTCCGTGGCACCATTGCAGGCCACAAATTTGTTTCTTCCAAGAACAACATCAAAAGAAAAGCAAGGAAGCCGCATGGGGCAAAGTTGCAAAAAAGGACTTTAAAAAGGTCGATGTTGATGACCTAATAATATATTTGATATATAATAGTAACACGGAATTAGATGAATTTCAATAAAGAAATAATGGTCAGGTAAGTTTAGTTAAAACTGCATGCAGTATGCTAAATTATACAATGATTTACTGGTTATTAACTTTAAACATTCTTTCTCCAACGAATTTTATCGGTGAGTAAGAGCAGAGGGAGGCGGAGTCAGTTCTCTCCTTAAACCTGTCCCCTTCTGAAATATTTCTGGCTAATTGAAAACTATTTTATTAGCATCTCTGGCAGGTTTTGTAAATAATACATTTTCATACAATACGTTTAAGGATTGTCTTCAGTACTGTCGCACTGATGGGTAGAAAAAACACATGCAATTAAGTAATGAATATGATAGACCTCAGTTAAATTACGAAAAAAATCGTCATAAAGTTTTACACCAAAAAATTTACCTGTTGTTTTTTCCAATTGGTCCAAGAAAAGTTTATTGAGGACAACAAACGCCTTGTGCTCTGAAATAAATACCACGTAAAAAGTCACCCAAAATAAGGACGTTTTTTTAATGCTACGAAATGTTGAGCAAAATAAAATTTTCATAATTCCAAGCATAGAGGTCATTACACAGTTTAATTAAACGACAATTTTTCCAACAAAGACGTATTCACACCTACCCAACCTGACAAGCTTACTTTTTCAAAGTCCCCTACATTGTCATCCTTTCACAATACAGTGAAATAGTGCTGACATAATTTACATAAATAATAATTTACAAACCATAATTGTAAATTACTTTTGTTATATCATAATAATATAAAAATACAATACTTTATCTTCGGAAACTGTTTCGTGCGCAGGCCCTTCTGTCGAATTTTTATGCGCGTCTACCAGCTACAATCAACAAATAATGCAGTAAGAATAATATATACATTTCATTATTACAATACCTTTACATATAATTATTAATACATGTGAGACGAAACTAGGTGATAGGTGGGAACTAGGGAGCTGGAGCCCCCCGCATCCTTTTTCCAATAGGAAAACAAAAAAAGATATTTAGATTGAGCTTAAATTATTGCTTAGAAGTGTTTTTTAATTAGATGTTATTGTAAAATTAAAGACTAAGCCCCCCCTTAATAAAATGCTCCGCCGTCACTGAAAAAACCGACCGGTGAACAACACTTTTGCCGCACTTTTCGCAAAATCCAGATATTTTTCACAACAACATAGTTTTCTAACACGAAGCTCAAACAAGGTACTTCCGGCAGTATTTCTATTTAGAAAATGTCTTCCTCATGCTGAGCTATAGACTCGGTGGACAAAGAGAATCTACTCGAAACTATTGTTTACAATAATCAAACTTTCCCGCTTGTGAAATGTTTTATTTGATTGGCAATTATGATTACTTCTTTGTTTGATCTACTAATGAGGAGCAAATTGATGGTTAAAAAAATACACGCGGTTGAGTAATGCATGTTGTAGAAAACACTTAAAATATGAAAGACTTCGTCACAAACTTTTACGCCAAAATAATTTACGTGTTGTCGTTTCCCCTTTTTCGGAAAAAAGTTTTTGATCACCGATGAAAACTTTTTGGTTGTGCTCTGAAATAAAGAACAAGTATAAACTCACCCACTATGAGCACGTTTTAATGCCAAAAATAATCAAGCAATGATAATATATACATTATATTTATTTACATATATGCATGTGAACATCAATGGGTGCGAGGCGAAACTAGTTGCAACCTTTTTAAGTAAACCCAATTAAGCTGTCATTCGATATGTGTGTTGAATACGAGTCTTTTTCTTGAGTAGAGCATGTTTAAACTTTAAAGTAGCTCTAAAGTCCAAAATTTCCATAACAAATAAAGAATTCATGAATAGAAAATAAAAAATAGCTGTAAACAGGAGCTTATCACCTAATGTTGCTCAATCCAATTAATATTCTAAAACACTGCTGCTACTGCATCATAACTTTCAACTAAGTAGCGTTGTGTTGAAGTGCTCTTTTAAATTTTAGTACAACGAATTAAAATGTTTATTGCAGTATAAGAAAAAAAAAATCTGAAAATATCAGAAAAACTTATCACCTTAAGTTTTTCGATCCACAAAAAAATTGTATTAGGGGATAATGTTAATAAACTAGTGTAGTAAATAAAGTTCAATGAGGGGGAAACTTAAATCAAATGCAAGCACTTAAGATAATTTACACGTATATGCAGCCAATAGCTTTCTTCAAACGAGAAGTATTAGAATAAAATACACTAAGACTGAGGATTTAGCACATTGGAAAAGTACCCTTTTCATAAAATGCAAGCTCACTGACGTTCAAGCAGTCAACTTCTTTTGCTATGTACATTTGTGATCTCTTGAATTAATATATACACATTTACTTATGATGCACACATATAAACATTTATTGGACGTACAAGGGTCACGACACATCACGTTTGGAAAACAAACCCTTTCACATAGCGCTTACTAATATTAAAGGAGTCACCAATATTTGATCAAAAAATGTACAAACTTCAAAATTGTGTAAAATTTCCATTTTTTCCAAAACAAAAGTCACATTGATAAAATATTCGACACGTTGAGATATAGGATAAATGAATTAAAAATTTGAGATTACTCACAAGGAGAGGTTTTACGTCAACCTAAAGCATTTACGTAGGTAAACGAGGACGGATTTTGGTAGTAGTTGTTTCAAACTGTCATTGGCCTACACTTTTCGCAAACAATATGTTTACAATCGTGCTAATACATATAACGTTTTACTCTTTTCAACCCTTTCATGCCAAATTAATTATACTCTTTGAATGCACCTCTAAGATTTTCTTTAATAGTCTACACTTAATTTATATTTGCCTTAGCTATCGGCGTATAACTTCTGTGTCATAGCTTCTGCATAACACAACAACTCCAAAAGAAAGAAGAGTTATTTCAACTCCACTTTCGGAGTTACGTTTAATTCCAGAAAAAGCTATTTTAACTCCACTTTTGGAGTTACGCTTACTCCAAAAATGGAGTTAAGATTTTGGAGTCAAATTTACCTCCAAAAAAGGAGTCATTCTGTACCATTTTATTGTACTCCACCTTTGGAGTTAAAACGACTCCTTGAAATTCACAGTGAAGGAGCGACGAATATGAGTCTTTGAAATGGTGCTGATAAAATAATTTGCATGCAGAAATATTATACTCAATTACTTGTGGATTAAAAATTCGAGATAGAAATGGTGTAAATACATATGAGGATGGTTTTCAACAGTCAATCTAATAGGCATTCATTGGCAAAGAATAAGTAGGTCTGCAATCTAATGTAAGAAAGGCGCGTAATATATTCTTTTTTTTAAATGAGAACTGCACTCTCATGTTTGCGAAAAGGTCTTGGTTTTCACACTCTAAACGATTACCGGTAAATTTTACACAGCACAAAAATAATCATTCTTGCATGCCACTGCTAATGTAGCAACTCCAAATTTCCTTTAATCATCTAATCCTACTTTTCTAATTGAACATTGACCTTTTCATTAACATGTTTGATTGTTACCCACCTGACTTCATCTAACCATATTTGCATTATCCGGAAAAGGTCATTCACCGGGCAATGCTCAATTAAAAAAAACTTTTGTTCCGCCATAATAATGAAAAAAATGGTAAACCTACCTTTTCGCTTGCACTTGGTTCGTTTGCACGCTCGTACATCGAGTTACTACCCATATTTTCCTGCTACAATGAACAAATAATCGAGCAATGATAATGTAACCATTGTATTGTTAAAATATCTATATATATAATGATAACCATTAATGTCTTATAATGATGTAAATGCCAGTGCGTACATCAAGTTCACACACTGAAGAAGTTACAACAACCAAATATTTCATCAATTGTCACCATTTTACCCAAGGACCATAAGTAAGCAATCAATTTATGAACGCAATGTGTGCAATCACAATTCATGCAGTCAATTCATTGATAAGTTCATCATAAATTTTTACCAAAGCCTTTATCTTGTTAGCAGAACACTGAGGTATATTGCTGTTCAAATTGAACTTCCTTGCATTTGAACTTGAGACCACCCGTTCACAGGTTCCTTAGCAGAAGATTCTGTCGTGACAAGAGTCACGACACTAAGGTTTTTTGTGGAAAACAAACCCTTTCACAAAAAGCTGACTGATAATAAGGACGTTTCAGGTCAAGCTAAAACATGTACATGTGTGTGTGAACGAGGGAGGGTTTCCATGGTAGTTGGATCAAACAGTGATTTGCTTACCCTTTTCTTAAAAAATAATATGTGCAATCGTGCACATAGATATAAATTTTAAGCTGTGAAGCTTTTCCTGCCGAAATAATCATACTCTTTAATGCACCTCTGAGACGTCCTTTAATCGTCTAAAGCTTATTTAGCTGGTCCATGAGGCCTATCCCGCTCATTTTTTTTGGTGAGAAAAGTTTATCTATCATTTTTTCCGGATATCCATTTGAAAGAAATATCTTTTTCAATGAGTTGAGATCACTTTCAATGAACTCCTCTGATGATAGTCTAAGCGTTTGCTTTATCAATCACTTTACTAAAGAAACCTTTTCTCTGGGTGAAGAAAAAGAGTCAAACCTTTTTAAAAACCCTAAGAGTTGCTTTCCGATGAATACTAATAAAGAATTGACCATTGCATTGTGGAATATGTTTGCAATTTATCCCTGTTTTGAGCGCAATCTCCTCTTTTAGAGATGACGTACACTCTTTTTTGACATTATAAATATCAAATTAAATGAAGATATGATCTTCGCACTTAATTTCATACACCGGACTGCATATAAGATTCTTTCATATTATAAATATCGGTAGATTTTAAATTTTCATTTAGCAGACGTTAACACCTGATCAGTATGTAGTCGGCCGAAATGCATCGTGTCGTTTAGTTTCATAACAGTTCTTTTAGAACTATTAACTTTTTACTTTTGCTATTCACCATGTTATTTGCGATCTTTAAAACGATTTTCAAATACATGTTTGTGAATGTACATCGTCCAGGTTAGTGGAGCCCTGAGAAGGTAAACGATCTCCTGAGAAGGACTGTTGTGTTGTTTGTTGACGAACAAAACAATAGTCAAAACAACAGTTCTTCTAAAGACTCTACTAACATGGAAGATCCACATCCATAAACATGTAGCGATACTCCCGGGCTCAAAACATTTACAGTAATATTTAAACATACTTTGTCGCTTGGTCCATCGTGTTCACTGGCATAGCTTTCTCCTACGGTCTCCTTTTGGGGCTACAATAAACAAAAAACAAAACAATGACAAAATAAGCATTTGTATACAATAATGATATTTATACGAATATTGGGTATGAAAACTATATCTGACTGATATTGAAAGAACAACGAATACGAGCCTTTGAAATTGCATAAAATTTAATTTCCCCCCCAATTGAAAGTATTGCTGATAAATCGACATGCTGAAATATTATACACAACTGGTCGTGGATTAAAAATTCGAGATTCAAAAGCTGTAAATACATTTTTTTCTTCCAATCGTCAAAACCTACTTTACTTATTGAATATCGACATTTTCATTAACTCTGTTTGACTATTACCCATCTGACTTCATCCAACGTCATGAGCACTTTTTGGAAAACCTCGCATACAAGGAATGGTCAATTTAAAAATACTTTTTATTCCATCACAGCAATAAATAAACTCATAAACATACCTTTTCGTTGGAGTTCTCACCCCCATTTTCTTGCTACAATGAACAAATAATTAAGTAATGATTATATATGCAATGTACTGTTACAATATTTCTACAAATGATAACAGCCATTGATTATGAATATCTTGTAATAATGTTTATGCCAGTACGTATATGTAGTAAATGCACTTAAAAAATTTAAATAACCAGATACTTTATCATTAGTTTTGTTTATTCATGGACCATAAGTGAACAATGATTTTCGTAGAAAATATAAACGCAATGTTTGCAATCACAATTCGTGCAGTAAATTCATAGATAAGTCCATCATAAAGATTTACCAATGCCTTTATCTGGTTTGCGTTTGAACTTGAGTCCGAACCGTAGACTCCTTTTTTTTTGTAAAGATTTAGCATTCTTATACTTTGAAACAGCAGAATAATCTACGTAACACTTTTCTCCATTCAACCCATAGACCTACAAGTAATCAATGATTCTTGTAGAATCTATTAACTCAAAAATTGAACTGCTGGCATTTTTTTATAAAATTATTCATTCTAAGAAAGAATGAAAAACATTACAATACATCATTTGTCCTGAGACTGAAGAAGAAAACTTTATAAGTTCCACCATAAATAGTCATTCAATGCCTTGGCGAATGAGTTTCTATTTCTTTGAATTTCTAAACTCAATTTACATTTACAACTTAAAATAATTCTTTACATTAAGAGAGATTAAATAACAGCTCTATTTAAAAAGGAAGTATTAGAATACACAAATGCTGAGAATTTAGCACATTAGAAAAACGGCTCTTCACATAATACCCTATTCATAACATACATGCTCGCTGTCATTTAAGTAGTCAATTTCTTTTGCTATGTACATTTGTGATCTCCTGCATGCTTTGAGGCTAAAATTAACATACATCACCAATCCATGATAAAATATACCATTTACTTTATTATCCACAGATATCAACAGCAATTGGATGTACAAGAGTTACGACACTAAGGTTTTTCGTGGAAAACAAACCCTTTCACAAAGTGCTGACTGATAATAAAGAGGTTTCAGGTCAAGCTAAAATATGTTTATGGGTAAACAAACACGTGTGTTGAATACGAGTCTTTTTCTTGAGTAGAACATGTTTAAACTTTAAAGTAGTTCAAACGTCCAAAATTTTCCATAATAAAGAAAAAATTCATGAATAGAAAATAAACAATAGCTGTAAACAGGAACTTATCACACATACAAACAGTTATTGGATGTACAAGGGTCACGACACATCACGTTTGGAAAACAAACCCTATAACAAAGCGCTTTATGATATTAAAGGAGTCGCGAATATTTCATCAAATAGATTGGTGGATTGATACATTTCCCTTCAGGAGAGAAAATATCTTGTTGGAACCAAATTTTAGTGGGTTGTTATAATATATTTGATAATGCATATCAAATCAATGATATTGCATCAGCAGGGAATGTATTTCTTTTTTTAAAGACTGCACAAATGGAAAGGTCATCTGAAGCTAAGAAACGAGTAGTTGCAAATAAGTTCTTTCAAGAATTAAAGTAATTCGTAGAATAGAGCAGCTATAAATTTACAGAAAGATGGTATTTTATATAGTTATATTGACGTTTTGAATATAATTATTGTGCATATATCTTTTCCATCTTATTAAAAACTGTATTTCTTGTCGTTATTATATATGAAATTAAAAATTTGTACTTCGTGTGTTTTGTTATCTTATTCTAACTACAAAGTGTCATAATTTCTATATAACAAAACCACTCCGAAAGAAGAGAAGAGTTATTTTAACTCCACTGTTGGAGTTACGTTTAACTCGAGAAAAAGTTATTTTAACTCCAATTTTGGAGTCACGCTTACTCCAAAAATACAATTAAAGTTTTGGAGTCAAATTTATCTCCAAAAAGGGAATCATTCTGTACCTTTTTATTGTACTCCACCTTTGGAGTTAAAATGACTCCTTGACATTAACAGTGAAGGAGCGACGAATACGAGCCTTTGAAATGGTGCTCATAAAATAATTTGCATGCAGAAATATTATACTCAATTACTTGCGGATTAAAAATTCGAGATAAAAATGGTGTAAATACATATGAGGATGGTTTTCAACAGTCAATCTAATAGGCATTCATTGCCAAAGAATACGTATGTCTGCAATCTAATGTGAGAAAGGCGCGTAATACATTATTTTTTTTAATTGAGTACTGCACTCCTATGTTTACAAAAAGGTCCTGGATTTCACACTCTAAACGATTACCGGTAAATTTTACACAGCACAAAAATATTCATTCTTGCATGCCACTGCTAATGTAGCTACTCCAAGTTTCTTTTAATCATCTAATCCTACTTTACTAATTGAACATTGAACTTTTCATTAACATGTTTGATTGATTGTTACCCACCTGACTTTATCTAACCATATTTGCATTGTCCGGAAAACGTGATTCACAGGGCAATGCTCAGTTAAAAAACTTTTGTTCCGTCATAATAATGAATAAAATGATAAACATACCTTTTCGCTTGCACTTGGTTCGTTTGCACGCTCGTACATCGAGTTACTACCCATGTTTTCCTGCTACAATGGAAAAATAATCGAGTAATGATAATGTATACATTGTATTGTTAAAATATCTATATAAATATAATGATAACCATTAATTTCTTATAATGATGTCAATGCCAGTGCGTACATCTAGTTCACACACTTAAGAAGTTACAACAACCAAATATTTCATCAATTGTCACCATTTTACCCAAGGACCATAAGTAAGCAATCAATTTATGAACGCAATGTGTGCAATCACAATTTATGCAGTCAATTTATTGATAAGTTCATCATAAATTTTTACCAAAGCCTTTATCTTGTTAGCAGAACACTGAGGTATATTGCTGTTCAAATTGAACTTCCTTGCATTTGAACTTGAGTCCACCCGTTCACAGGTTCCTTAGCAGAAGATTCTGTCGTGACAAGAGTCACGACACTAAGGTTTTTTGTGGAAAACAAACCCTTTCACAAAAAGCTGACTGATAATAAGGAAGTTTCAGGTCAAGCTAAAACATGTACATGTGTGAACGAGGGAGGGTTTCCATGGTAGTTGGATCAAACAGTGATTTGCCTACCCTTTTCTGAAAAAATAATATGTGCAATCGTGCTCATAGATATAAATTTTAAGCTGTGAAGCTTTTCCTGCCGAAATAATCATACTCTTTAATGCACCTCTGAGACGTCCTTTAATCGTCTAAGGCTTATTTAGCTGGTCCATGAGGCCTATCCCGCTCATTTTTTTTGGTGAGAAAAGTTTATCTATCATTTTTTCCGGATATCCATTTGAAAGAAATATCTTTTTCAATGAGTTGAGATCACTTTCAATGAACTCCTCTGATGATAGTCTTAGCGTTTGCTTTATCAAACACTTTACTAAAGAAACCTTTTCTCTGGGTGAAGAAAAAGAGTCAAAGCGTGTGTACAAACCGTAAGAGTTGCTTTCCGATGAATACTAATAAAGAGTTGACCATTGCATTATGGAATATGTTTTCAATTTATCCCTGTTTTGAGCACAATGTCCTCTTTTAGAGATGACGTACACTCTTTTTTGACATTATAAATATCAAATTAAATGAAGATATGATCTTCGCACTTAATTTCATACACCGCACTGCATATAAGATTCTTTCATATTATAAATATCGGTAGATTTTAAATTTTCATTTAGCAGACGTTAACACCTGATCAGTATGTAGTCTGCCGAAATGCATCGTGTTGTTTAGTTTCATAACAGTTCTTTTAGAACTATTAACTTTTTACTTTTGCTATTCACCATGTTATTTGCGATCTTTAAAACGATTTTCAAATACATGTTTGTGAATGTACATCGTCCAGGTTAGTGGAGCCCTGAGAAGGTAAACGATCTCCTGAGAAGGACTGTTGTGTTGTTTGTTGACTAACAAAACAATAGTCAAAACAACAGTTCTTCTAAAGACTCTACTAACATGGAAGATCCACATCCATAAACATTTAGCGATACTCCCGGGCTCAAAACATTTACAGTAATATTTTAACATACTTTGTCGCTTGGTCCATCGTGTTCACTGGCATAGCTTTCTCCTACGGTCTCCTTTTGGGGCTACAATAAACAAAAAACAAAACAATGACAAAATAAGCATTTGTATACAATAATGATTTTTATACGAATATTGGGTATGAAAACTATATCTGACTGATATTGAAAGAACAACGAATATGAGCCTTTGAAATTGCGTAAAATTTAATTTTCCCCCCAGTTGAAAGTATTGCTGATAAATCGACATGCTGAAATATTAAACACAACTGGTCGTGGATTAAAAATTCGAGATTCAAAAGCTGTAAATACATTTTTTTCTTCCAATCATCAAAACCTACTTTACTTATTGAATATCGACATTTTCATTAACTCTGTTTGACTATTACCGATCTGACTTCATCTAACGTCATGAGCACTGTTTGGAAAACCTCGCATACAAGGAATGCCAGTTTAAAAATACTTTTTATTCCATCACAGCAATAAATAAACTCATAAACATACCTTTTCGTTGGAGTTCTCACCCCCATTTTCTTGCTACAATGAACAAATAATTAAGTAATGATTATATATGCAATGTACTGTTACAATATTTCTACAAATGATAACAGCCATTGATGATGAATATCTTGTAATAATGTTTATGCCAGTACGTATATGTAATAAATGCACTTAAAAAATTTAAATAACCAGATACTTTATCATTAGTTTTGTTTATTCATGGACCATAAGTGAGCAATGATTTTCGTAGAAAATATAAACGCAATGTTTGCAATCACAATTCGTGCAGTAAATTCATAGATAAGTCCATCATCAAGATTTACCAAAGCCTTTATCTGGTTTGCGTTTGAACTTGAGTCCAAACCGTTGACTCCTTTTTTTTTGTAAAGATTTAGCATTCTTATACTTTGAAACAGCAGAATAATCTACGTAACACTTTTCTCCATTCAACCCATAGACCTACAAGTAATCAATGATTCTTGTAGAATCTATTAACTCAAAAATTGAACTGCTGACATTTTTTTATAAAATTATTCATTCTAAGAAAGAATGAAAAACATTACAATACATCATTTGTCGTGAGACTGAAGAAGAAAACTTTATAAGTTCCACCATAAATAGTCATTCAATGCCTTGGCGAATGAGTTTCTATTTCTTTGAATTTCTAAACTCAATTTACATTTACAACTTAAAATAATTCTTTACATTAAGAGAGATTAAATAACAGCTCTATTTAAAAAGGAAGTATTAGAATACACAAATGCTGAGAATTTAGAACATTAGAAAAACGGCTCTTCACATCATACCCTATTCTTAAAATACATGCTCGCTGTCATTTAAGTAGTCAATTTCTTTTGCTATGTACATTTGTGATCTCCTGCATGATTTGAGTCTAAAATTAACATACATAACCAATCCATGATAAAATATACCATTTACTTTATTATCCACAGATATCAACAGCAATTGGATGTACAAGAGTCACGGCGCTAAGGTATTTCTGGGAAAGCAAACCCTTTCACAAAGTGCTGACTGATAATAAAAAAGTTTAGGGTCAAGTTAAAATATGTTCATGGGTAAACGAACACGTGTGTTGAATACGAGTCTTTTTCTTGAGAAGAATATGTTTAAACTTTATAGTAGCTCAAAAGTCCAAAATTTTCCATAATAAATAAAGAATTCATGAATAGGAAATAAACAATAGCTGTAAACAGGAACCTATCACGCATATAAACAGTTATTGGATGTACAAGGGTCACGACACGTCACGTTTGGAAAACAAACCCTTTCACAAAGCGCTTTGTGATATTAAAGGAGTCACGAATATTTCATCAAATATATTGATGGATTGATACATTTCCCTTCAGGAGAGAAAATATCTTGTTGGAGCCAAATTTTAGTGGGTTGTTATTATATATTTGATAATGCATATCAAATCAATAATATTGCATCAGCAGGGAATGTATTTCTTTTTTTAAAGGCTGCACTATTGGAAAGGTCAGCTGAAGCTAAGAAGATAGTAGTTGCACATAAGTTCTTTCATGAATTAAAGTAATTCATAGAGCAGCTATAAATTTACAGAAACATGGTATTTTATTTAGTTATATTGACGTTTTAGATATAATTATTGTGCATATCATTTCCATCTTATTAAAAACTGAATTGACCATTGCATTATAGATTATGTTTTCAATTTATCCCTGTTTTGAACGTAATCTTCTCTTTTAGAGATGACGTACACTCTTTTTTGACATTATAAATATCAAATTAAATGAAGATATGATCTTCGCACTTAATTTCAAACACCGCACTGCATATAAGATTCTTGCATATTATAAATATCGGTAGATTTTAAATTTTCATTTAGCAGACGTTAACACCTGATCAGTATGTAGTCTGCCGAAATGCATCGTGTTGTTTAGTTTCATAACAGTTCTTTTAGAACTATTAACTTTTTACTTTTGCTATTCACCATGTTATTTGCGATCTTTAAAACGATTTTCAAATACATGTTTGTGGATGTACATTGTCCAGGTTAGTAGAGTCTTGAGAAGGTAAACGATCTCCTGAGAAGGACTGTTGTGTTGTTTGTTAACTGGCAAAACAATAGTTAAAACAACAGTCCTTCTCAGGACTCTACTAACATGGAAGATCCACATACATAAACCTGTAGCGATACTCCCGGGCTCAAACCATTTACAGTAATATTTTAACATACTTTGTCGCTTGGTCCATCGTGTTCACTGGCATATCTTTCTCCTGCGATCTCTATTTGTGGCTACAATAAACAAAATACAAAACAATGACAGAATAAGCATTTGTATACAATAATGATTTTTATACGAACATTGGGTATGAAAACTATATCTAACTGATATTGAAAGAACGAAGAATATGAGCCTTTGAAATGGAGTACAATTTAATTTTTTTTCCAAATGAAAGTAGTGCTGATAAATCGGCATGCTGAAATACTATACTCAACTTGTCGTGGATTAAAAATTTGCGATTCAAAAGCTGTAAATACATCTTAATTTTCTTTCAATCGTCAAATAATACTTTACTTATTGAATATCGACCTTTTCATTAACTCTGTTTGACTATTACCCATCTGACTTCATCTAACGTCATGAGCACTGTCTGGAAAACCTCGCATACAAGGAATGGCCAATTTAAAAATAAATTTTATTCCATCATAGCAATAAATAAACTTATAAACATACCTTTTCGTTGGAGTTCTCACGCCCATTTTCTTGCTACAATGAACAAATAATTAAGTAATAATTTAATATACAATGTACTGTTACAATATTTGTACAAATGATAACAGCCATTGATGATGAATATCTTGTAATGTTAATGCCATTACGTATATGTAGTAAATGCACTTAAAAAATTTAATTAACCAAATACTTTATCATTTGTTTTGTTTTTTCATGGACCATAGGAGAGCAATGATTTTCGTTGAAAATATTAACGCAATGTTTGCAATCACAATTCATGCAGTCAATTCATAAATAAGTTCATCATAAAGTTTTTACCAAAGCCTTTATCTGGTTTGCGTTTGAACTTGAGTCCAAACCGTTGACCCCTTCATTAGTTGAAGATTTAGCATTCTTAAACTTTGAAACAGCAGAATCATCTACGTAAGATTCTTCACCATTCAACCCATAGACTGGTGATCAAGTAATCAATGATTCATGTAGAATATATTAACTATAAAATTTTTTTCTAAAATTATGCATTATGCAACAAGAATGAGAAACATTACAATAAATCATTTGTCCTGAGATTGATGAAGTAAAACCTTCATGCCATATTTACACTATATGCCTTTGCAATTGAATATGTATTTCTTTTAAATTTCTGAACCCAATTTACATTTACAAATTAAAATAATTCTTTATATATTGTAAACTGCTGTCATTAAGAGTGTTGATCTCGGATTTTTTAAGTGAAACTGTTTGGATTCTTTTTCGGGAATTTATTTTGATTAGTAATTTTCGGGATTTTTTTATTATGAACAGGAGAATTAAAATTTAAGGAAGTGCTTTTTGTGAATTTTTTTCGACTTATAAACGATTGTGCCACACGATATAAAGATAAACTACGCTGCCTAACCAGTTAGCTGTACATCCCAACTGGTAGAAGGCTGTGGCTTGTACATAGGACCAAAATTTCAATGAAAGAAGTGACAATGTGTGTATTGAGTGTAGTGATTTACTTTTGCGAAAGGAGACTGGGACTTTAAGGAATTTGAGATCTTTTAAGACTTAGGATTTGAATTAAATTACATTGGGGATTGTAGGTCATGCAATTTTTATAGATTTCACCAATCAACAATCTCATCAACAGCATGCTGCACATTGTCCTATACAATAGACTAACTTTTCTCTGCTATCGTGTACTGATGTCTACTTTCTTGGGGATTTTGATAAATATCATGAGAAATTAGAACACCATACACAATTATATGCAAAAATGAATTGACATACTGTTGGATCTTGTAGTTCTCCAATTTCTTTTAGTGCTTGCTGTTTTAATGTTTCTTGCCCCTCTGGCCGCTATATACAATAAACAAATATTGAATGAAACAATTTCCTACCCACCTTTCATGTGAAAGGAAATTAATAAAGTTGGTCGTCGAAAATGAAAAATAACTACACAAGGATGAAATTTGGCAATGAACAGGAATTGTGTGAACTATGGGATATGGGACCGAGAAAAATCACCTCTTTGACTTGAACACATTTGTCGGGCACGTTTCGATCTTTTTCCCGAAATTTCCTTAATTCTTCTTTCAAGCTCCTTATTTGATCGTCTTTTTCACTGTTTTGTAACTTCAATGTCCGTATTTCGTCGTCGTTTTTGCTGCTTTGCAACTTCCATCTCCGTATTTCATCGTCTTTTTTGCTGCTTTGCAACTTCAATGTCCGTATTTCATCTTCTTTTTTGCTCTTTTGCAAAGTCAAGCTCCTTATTTCATGTTTTAGTTCTTTGCGAGAAGCAATGGAGGAACTATTTTTGCGCAGAACTTCCGTAGTTTCGTTTTGATGTAATGTCTCATTGTCACTGGATATCTTACTTGTATCCAATTGGTTTATATTTTCCTAAAAAAGGACAACTATTAATATTTTCACTGGTTGATTATTTTTTTCAATAAATAGTACTGAGACACAAGTCTATTGTATTCGCAGTGACATTGTTTTTGTCCACTCAGGGTTGAATTTGGGAGTTGCCATTTTAAGTAATGTTTCTACATGGAACAACTGTCCGGACGCGACTTCAATGATTTAAAAAAATAAAATGTTAGGAGTATTAAATATTTGTTAAGTGTTACTCGGGGCACTATAAAAACAAATAGTTTATCCATGTATGGCAGGATTTTCTCTAAAAGATTTCAAATCAAGCAAGTGAAAATGCCCTCCTCGAACAATAGTGAGATGATTTTGAAGCCCCACTTAGGGCCTGTTTATATGAGCCGCGCTAGCCCACTTTAACGGGCTAGCCCAACAGTTGCGAGATCTCGCATCTTTTAGTGTTTACATATAATTTCAAATTTGATTCATTTGAGAGACAGGCTTGCTCGTAATGCCGGGATATCGCTTAAGCGAGGCGGTATTTCAAAATAAACGGGCTCATGTGCGCATGCTTATTAAATTCAGTTCGATGCGTAATACAGGGCAAGCAAAAGGACAACTTCCGGTGAACCATAGAATGCATAACATTACTGAGTTTCTTCCAGCTTTTAAAAGTGACATGAAATATCGGGATTTGGACTTTTTATGCTGCGTTCGTAATTAATTATTTCTGTACTTGCAGGGCCAGCCCGCTTGATATGAATCAAATAATAAACTGGCCTGGCAAAGCGAGCCAGCTCGGCTCATATGAACAAGCCCTTAGTGAGTGTGAGTCTTAACATTGAACTAATTTTGACAATCACAAATGAATATATCAATAGCCCATTGACGTCCAGCAATTGACCAAAATTTCGTTTTGTAAACGATGTTCGATTATGATAATATATTCCCAATTTTCTATTTTGGAACACCATTGGCGATCAACTGTAATGGTAAAATTTTCAGTAGAGTTTATACGTATAGCCAACATACTGAAAGGGTTCCGCTTCCGTCAGTCTCTTGAATCTGTTCTCCTTTACTCACTTTTCCTGTTTGTGGCTGTAAATGAAAACAATAGCTTTTCTTCAGTTGGTCCTCAATGTTAGAATTGTAAGAACACACTGGAGAATTTACAGGTTAGTATCGTTATACCGGACATATTTTTCTTTGGGCTACCGAATGAAAGCACGAGTTTGAAATTTGGATTATCCTATATTGTCGCCAGAATACATAAATCGGGCATGACTGATCCGAATTTGTTGAACTAATTTAATTTCTTCTTGAATCGTTTCACGCGCGAGTGTCATTTAAGGCACGTATTATTATGAAACATGATTTACTTGCATGTTAACAATATGTTGCCACTTTTGAAATCATTATAATACACAAATATAACCAAATACTGTTCTCAAGTTGCCCGAGCGAATGCCTGATAGGTGTCTTGTTTTGTGAAAATATAACCCACGACTGACAGGTCATTCAGTGAAACTTATTTGTGTTTATATTTACTAACTATAATTTACATAATGCACATGGGTTCTATAACATAATAATGTATGAGCATACTTTATTGCATGTTCTAGGAATATTGAGTCTGTACGCGGTCTTTCGATACAAAAAACAAATAACTAAGCAATGATAAAATATGTATGTGTATTTGAATGATATTTATTGGGGAGGGAAAGTAATCTCTTTAAAAATACACTGACTGCAATTTAACAGTGACGAATATGGGCCACTTTCTTGATTACAAAAGAAGCATAACCTTTGAAATGGTATAAAACGTACGCATTTATGCGTAAAAAAGAAAAAGATCAAGCTCATACGGGTAATAATACATTGTTTTTAAACATAATATGCCATGGCGGAGTAAAATACAATTTTGCTCTATATTACTGTCAAGAAGAGTACTAAAACACTTTAACAGCCTAAAATTGTAAGAAAAACGGAAAATTGATTTGGAGTTGCATAACCTATAACTAAACTATATGCTTTTCTTAAAAATGTATGATGTTTGTTGTCCTGGTACATCTTCTTGCTCAAAAATAGTCGGACATTGCTACTGCTGATTTATTTTATCTTCCCCAACAATTCATCAAGCTTTTGTTTATTCTCAACTTTTTATGTATACCTCAAAACTGTCCAAGTCCGTATCTTGCGCCTCGTCCATGATCTGACATAGAAAATGAATTCCACATTAATCGTTTAGGACAATGCCCACATGGTGCTCATTTCATTGAGAAGCAGCCTTTCAAGTGAAATGTTTGACAACATGTGAACAAATTAAGATTTTACCACTTTAGATTTTGCTTTCAACACTTCGTAGATCTTCAAAACTATTGACTAAATTTCAAGCTCTGCAGCTGAAAAGAGAAAAAATAAAGAAAATCAAAAAATTTTGTCGCAAAAAAACTTCTAAATATCCTTAGTTCAAGTTCAAACATCCGAATAAAGTATAAAGATCTATGATATGGAGCACGTAGAGAATGCATTTCATTGCATGCAGTACATCACAGTGAACAAATTAGTTGTTGTGATTTTAAATGTTTTGCCTAGTTATAAAAACAAATATTGTAAAATTGCTCGTGAAGATTTATCCGATGATAAGTATTGAATCGTTTCTATTTACCAAAATCACTTAAAGCCTCACTGAATCCTTCTTAGACGGGATCATGTAAACAGCCCTAAGTTTGTTCTGGCCATTAGGGAATTACATATAAAAAAAGGCAGCGTTAGAGCTTGTTGGTGACTGACTTAATAGTTGTAGCTGGATCAGTGCTGTTGTGGCAGTGACAACAGAAAGAGATGCTTATTTTTCATCAGAGCCATCATACTTTATATAAAAACGTGACATCTGTTAACTGTCTTTAAATAACCTGGAAATTCACTTGGAAGTCACCAATGGCTCGCTCGTAGTTCACAAGAACAAAAGAGCTTCCTCTGCGTTGTTTTAGACTACGCACATGCGCAAATGAATACATATTTTAAAGGGGACACGAGAGATGTGCGACTGACCAAAATCTGGCAGTATTAAGAATACTGATGATCGCCACACGCCCCCCATAAGAAGCAAGAACGGTGCAAGAGGTCATTGTGAACAATTTCCAGTTGTTTATCCTTTGTTTTGAGAATAAAGTTTTTTCGATCGTGTCAGCAATTAAAGAAATGAGAAATCCATATGAGTAGGAGTACACAAGAAATCATTGGTGATGCCGTGGTCGAAGCTGGGACATAGGCGCTTGAGGTGGTTACTAATGGTAACGATCGGTAAAGATGTCTTTTTCCAAGAGTGATTCCAGAGAAGAACAGAGCCAAAGTCGAAATAAAAAGTTCGAAAATAAAAAAATTTATTTGAAGTCACAGTTCATTTTTAAAACGAAAACCTGGAACACTGGATACAACTTTTTTCAATATTTTTTTACATCACTTTTATGCTTATGAAGACATGAAGAAAGAGACAAGTTAGCTATAATTCTGGCCATATGATTGGTCCACGTCAGTTCGCTTTGTCTTCGGGGGCGAAGCCCAATATATATCTAGTTTATTTACGACGAGAATAATGAAGGCACAATGTGAATCATGTGAATCCCATTGCAGCACAATGCGAAATGAATACACTTTTATTGATTTATCAAACATTCAGTCACTTATTTGGAGTTGGCATACTATTTAAGACATCTGTGCTCGACATAAATAGGAGCATAACCGAGGGTATTCAATTCACCGTCAACATAAACGTCGAAGCAATTTTGAAGAGTTGAAACCGAAATCTGTTGACTACCCGCTGTGAAGCAGTTAATATAGCAAAAACATTTCACTTGGCGGAATTTTTCTATCTCTATTCGTCGACAAATAAATGCACTGGACTTAAGGTAATAATATGATACATGATTGATGTCAATTTTTATTTTTTGGAGCAAAGTTTCTGTGTACTTTGATATTTAACATTGGCACACTTTATTCCATGTATTTATCAGCATGATTCACTAGGCATATTTTTAATGACAAGGAAGACATTCATTAAATGTGGATGGAGTACAACAACAATCAAATTTTATTCTGCCTCGTTGTCTTATAGCTTGAGTAAATGGATGCTGTTGTTTGTTTATGTGTAAGAGATAACACTGCTTTACTTCATGACAAGAAAATTTCGTTTATAGTTGGTCTAAACTGTAGAGCAATTGTCATACTGGCCGAGAATATTTATTAATATATTTTCCAGGAATTCACTTTTAAATAAAGCATTTCATTCTTTCTTTGTGCCTTGTGTTGAAAATATTTTAAATTTTATGCATCAATAATTAACAGTTGGTAATATCATGTGTAAAAGCTTGCGCACTGTTTTTATGTATTATGATGCAATCTGTAGCTCTAGGTTGTTTTATAAAGATTCAACTTATGAAAATTGTGTTAATAAAAATTTATTCTTCTATGGCAATTAACAAATGTAAAATGACCAATTTAAGTTACTCAAATAGATAGAATTATTAAGGTAGAGAAAAGTATAGATGTATATAACATACAAATACCTCTCTATTTGCTCAATATTATATAGATGCAGAAAATAGTTAAGAAGCTTGATAATTCCCATGTGAATGAATTAGGTGGTCAACTTTTTATAAGCCTTTAACTATTTTCATTATAGGTACATTCATATATATAGTATACAGTTATTGCTTTTTAAATACCTTGATGTTGTTCTCATTGCTAATTAAACAACTAGCTGGCTCATTAGTCATTGACTATTAAACAATGGGGTATTCAGAATCTTTGAATTTTCATTTTCTGGGGTGAAGCATACTTTGAAGGTTTGGGGAAGGGCAACACATATTGTTGATATTTAGGTGCACAGTGAGCCTAACATCATTGCATACATTTATATATAATTTATATTTTCCTTTATTTAGTCATATTATTTTTTCATGTACATTGTGATTGGTTTAATACCTTTTGTGGGTTTGGGGGATTGACCCGGATAGTATGCAAAACTAAATTGCCTGAGAAACCTTTAAAGGGCTGTCCATGTTGCTTAAATATAATAGCATAGCCATCCCCAAAATATTGCCATGCTTTGTGAATTTTTCTGCATTTACTCATTACCAAAGAAACTATAATGATCATTAATAAACTGAATTTTACATTTCAGAACCAAAACATGCAGGATGGCTGTACCATTGGTTGAATATAATAAATTCAACAAGGTAAATAGTTAATGATCATTCTGGACAAAGCAGTCCGTCAAATCAATTTTCAAAAAAACTATGAAGAAAAAAAGGTTGATTGTTAGCAGGAAATCGTATTTAAGAGTCCGCAACCTTTGCCTTTAATCAATTTATAGTTGAAGTTTAGATGCATCATAATTGTAGTTGTAATAGTTTGTCCTTTTTGGTTCAAACATTGTTGAATATATTCTACAAAGATTTTTATTATACATTTTTACATTTATTTGATGAACATTTCCCAATACATGTCTCTATGAGTATGAAGATAGACTACATACTAAATCCAATACCAAATAGTAAAATTCCCAGTTACCACATAAACCCTGTGGTCAATATAAATATTGATTTATTTATTGATTGATTGACTGAGTGGTGTATTAAGATATATCATTGCTGCCGTTTGCTCAATTATGTATAAATTATTATTAACACGAAGGTAAAAGTTAAGAGTTATAAGATGAATCAAAAATTATATTTAAGTATATTTACAAGTAATACACAAAAAACTAAATTAGTTAAAATTTTATTTTCTTTGAGTTTCAAATTATAAAACTATTACTTAGTCTATGTTTCTTACAGAGAGGAAAATTGAAATTATGCTTAATCTGCTATCGATGATCAGTTTCATTTAAATGTTTTGTAGAACATGGAAATGCAAATGCTAGTTTGAACCCTCCTTCATTGTAATCAATGACAAAATGTCACACGAAGTGCAAATTACAATGAAGGATGGTGTAGGATAAAAGAGGATGAAGGAGGTATCATAAAGAAGGAGCTGTCATAAAGAAGGAGGTGTCATAAAGAACAAGATCTGGGAAGTGGCAAATTGCATGATGCATCCCATTGATAAAGCTAAGCTGAACCCAAACAGCCCAAATGCGTAAAAAGAGTAAGTAACTTTTGTAACCAGAGCTAAGAACATCAAACTTGCCTCACTTCTAATATAAACATAAGTAGGGCATTGATTTGTTGCTTTATTGTTGTTAATATTTGATTTTGCCCACATGCGAAAATGATAAAGCAAGTTGAAATAAAAAATGTTGAGCAATGAATTCTGTTTACTTACAACTGTTTTGTTGGCAGCTGGAGATGGCAATTTTGAAAATTTCTTTCTCGGGATTCTGCCTCTATACTAACAAGAAAAAATAGCACCGGCTAATTTATTGGCTATTTAAAATCATGCTATAGATCTCGGAAATGTTGACATAATAAGCTCACCCTCATAGACTGGAGAGTCAATTTAACATTTGTGGTGTTTCAATTGACTGTTGCATTAACCTTCAATTAACACAACTATTTATTACCTTCGCCAATGAATGATTGCCGTAAAGTTCAAACGACCACTTCGATGGTCAAGAACAGAAAATAGCATCGAAAAAAGTCTAGTCTATAATTTGCTAATTGACATTGTGAAAATGTACAAATACTCACTTGAAATAATATAACTTTGTACAGATATAGCTATTGGTATTTCTATTAATTACAATCTTTCGATAGTAAAAAACGTCGTTTTCTGATGTTGTTGTTTAACTTTAGAAAATGTGCATGTCAGTTTTGTAACGCATCACGAGACCGGAAATTGGAAGTTGGATCACTCATTAACCGGAAGTCGCGACTGATGAACGCGTAAAGTACGGACATCCTTCGCTCTGAAGATGGCTACTGCTAAGGTTGTCAAAATGTCAGTCATCATCAGCAACAACACTCCTCAGAATTGTACTAACCTGGACGATCTACATCTACAAACATGTAACACGAAATTATCTTATAAAAGCAATATTTTTCCTACGACTTTCAGTCTTTTCTCTATCTATTTTTCATTTTGAACTATTGAATGTTTCTTGATTTGTATTGACCATATGGTGTTCGTTCTTACATATCAATCTCTTCCAATAACTCTTAGGCAATAGTAAAGTCTTCCAAACCTATAACGTTTTTTAAAGAAATCCGGCAAATCCAACTTTCGCTACTTGTTAAGATCTGGAATAAATGGTCTTGACTATAAGATAACCTAAGTCATTATATATCTCATTAAGTTGTGCGTAAAAATATTTTTGTTATAAGCCTCGTGCATAAGCCCTTACTTGAATAAGCGCACCGCGATGTTCACAGTTGACACTCAGCACATTCCACTTAAGTGACCACCTGCGTATCATCCCACACAAATATAAATCTAATTATTAAATTGTGTAACGTGTACAAAGTACTGCAGTATGATATTGTTCATGCATTAGCCTCGATCAGAAGCCTCCCATGTATAACTCCACAAAAAATTTTTACGAGTTTATATAAACACAGGGATTATAGGCAGACGTTCACAGTAATTCTGGTTTCATCCAGGTTTAAACTAAGATACATTAAGTGCATATATTTCAAGTAAAACAAGTTTTATGAATGTTTACACACTTATAATTGCAATTGAAGAAATCAATTTTTATTTCAACACATTTTACTGACTTGCTAAAAATAATTGAGTTTTTTGTGCAGTTTTGCATAAATGTCGTGAATCGGAAAGATTAAATTGTTCATAAAAATGCTCACACTTATTTACCGGCTTTGCAACTGCCCGCTACCTGACAAATAAAATGGCGATCAACGGAACATGAATATCTTTATTCCTCCTGTATAATATTTATAAGATGCAATCATCTCGACACAGTTTTCATTGCCACCCCAATTACTTTGTTGCAAGTCCCCCCAGTAGATGAAAACTGGTAGGCGATCATTGGTAGTGTTGAATTTTGAGCCGGGGCCTGGCACCGTCTTGAACAATCTGATTAAAGCCTTATTCATGCCTTTTTTTCCTCATTCCTGAATAAAGATAGTCATTGTTTGCCTTTAACAAGGAACTGCTAGGTCAGCACCTTTATCCAGACAATACTTTCTTGCATTAAGCCAGGTGGTTGTGTGATTACTGAAATAGTAACACTTTCCATGGACACATTCCCAACCTACAAAAGAATCATAACTGTTTTCAATTAATATTCCTGATAAAATAGTTTTATATTCTTGTGTAGAGCATTGGCGCGCACTTACCATTCACCTGACTCATAGCACAGGCCAGCATTGACAGCAGTATAATTATATTCACGATGTTCGTCATTTTCTAAAATCTGAATGACATACATCAAAAATTGAAAGTGTTACATACTTAATACTTGTTTATTCTGTTTATTTCTTCAAGTGCGTATCCTAATTTGTTCAAGCGCATGCATCCTGTATTTTAATGTATCCTAATTTTTCAGCTTTAGAGTCTTTCTGATTGCAGGTTTTAGCTGTTTATTATGTTTCTTTGGGTGTTATGCTCAGTTTATGCTAAAGCGCCTCCTTATGATGTAACGTTAATTCAAAACATGCAAACTAACGAACAGCAGTGACAATTGAAGTGAATCAAAAGAAATTTGTCGTCAAATCAAAAGAAAGATTGCTATGATTGCAATGTTGCGTTTTAGAATAATCTTTCGTGGTGAAATAAAATCAATAAAGCACGTTTGGAGGCAATGCACAAGATCTTTTGTTCACTTATGAGGTTATAAACCTTCGTGCATAAGCAGAAATCGACCGTAAAAGCGAAAAACAAAGAAACTCTTTGTTTGAAAAACAACTCCAAGCCTCGTACATGCGTATGCACACGAAATACAAGCTCTTTGCATTCTTAAAGGTTGGGGATGTTTTTATATCCTGAGCTTGGCTAAAAATGTGTTGGAGTCTACTATTCTGTTGACGTTTTAACTGCTACTGCGCCCATTTGGAATAAGTCTGGACTAATTTGTAGACGAGCTCATTTTAAATTCACTTTTTGGACCATAGTAAAAACCTTGGAGGACACAGTCTGCCTGAATCATAATACAATGCATTGAGTTCGGTATCCTACACTAAACAATGCAATAATTCATACCTTTCAGTTTTCTTTTGCGACTTTTCTTCTCTGTTTCTTAAACTCTTGATCAAGCTGTGTGCAAGGGTATGAAATGATGTCCAAATAGAGGTCAAGCCTCAATTTATAAGAACATCTGTTCACATGATTGTACATTCATCCGTAAATGGAGTTGAGTCACGCAAAACAGATCTTTCCTGCCATTGTCACAATGTACTTCTTCATGCTTGCCACGTCTTTTGTACGCAAACAAGCAACTTGAATTTGTGAAGATATGGAGAAATGGTGATGTTTGTCCTCATGCATCGAGGGAAGAGTTTCGTGATTCACAAAATTGGGAAAGATACCTGTGCTTTTGTTTCATGTGCTCATTCAATTGACATTTTGATGTCTTGTATTTCTGCCGTGGTCTTAAAAATACCAATATTACATACGTAAATCAAGTAGTTAATACTCATGTTCTGATTCAAGCAATTCCAAAACTAAGTTGACGCTTTCTTGTTTCTTGCTGGTTTTACGTAAATGTGAACAGCAATTAGCCAACGAAATCATTTTACAAATTGAGGCTTTCGGAATTTTAAAAGTCACAATTAAATAATTAATGCAAGGAGCAGAATAACTTCAAATAGCATGTAAATGTCTATATCAATAATTTAAAGACCCCTTCTCTTGAAAGATGACTTGGAAATTTTACATTCAAATCATATTTTAAAAATATAAAATTTAAAATCAATTTCCCTGTCATTATTATATTAATATTGCCGAATACCAATACATAGGATATCTATCTGACGGTTCAACAAGAAATATTAAAGCATCAGAAAAAAGCTTAAAGACTGAGTACTTTCTATGTAATAATGGTCCTTTGAGCAAACAAATAAAGATTTCCTGGACCTGGATATTGATGGTGATCCAAAAAAGCTTTTAATTATCATGTTGTTTGTTATATAAGAATTAAATTCTCTTGTTGTTGATTATATACTTCGTAAAAAATCTTTTATTCTAACTATTACATAATAAGCTCTAAATTCTCTTGTTGCCTACAAGCACATTTTAAGACACAACATCATGATGAATTGGAGTATCAAAAAAATCTAAAAGCAAGTCGCAGATGCAAGACAAAATGAATTTTCATGATGTCAAACAAGAATCATTGATACTTATTCGTTTGTTGTAACACTTCAAATGATCCTACAAATTAATTTTTCGTTCATCATACATAGCATTTTTCAATAGAGATTTGTTTGTATCTTATGGGTGAAATCAAACTCATTTATACGCATTAAAGGAAAATGGAAGATTCTTTATCTTTATGAAAAATCACAACTCAATGTAAAATTACAAACAGTGTGGATCATGACTAATATCATAAGTACATTACTTACAGCATATTGAACATTATATTACCTTTACATTTGATTGCTCTTTTGAACACACGCTCCTGGGATTTAATATTTATTATCTAAACCGATAAAAACCGCATTTTTGAGCACTTCCAGAAGTCAGTCCGCATGAGCATTTTATAATTTACCTTAGAAATGAGAACGACAAATGATATTTCGTAAATCTATTTCCATGTACTGCGCGTGCCTCACAGTTTCAAGGATATCACATGAGATTACGTTCAACCACCCAGCATTCAGTGCGCGCGTAACCCAGCATATGAGACGATTTTGAGATGCTTGAAAATGGAAATATTAGTTGCAAAAATTGATTTCAATAAATGGCCAAAAGCTTGGTGGTTTTATTAACAAGGTCAAGGGAATCGACCACTTGTTTGAAAAATCTTGCTAAAAATTCGACGGTGCGTGGTGTTTTGTCGGCGAAAATAAGCAGCAGGAGTTTACGTATCAATTTTTGTTGGGAGGTTGTAGTCCGAAATGAGATCAACTCATTTCATTTACAAAATTTTAACCGTACCAAAATCAAACATAGTCTTGCTTGAGTCATGAACCTCAAACGATGCAGAGTTCAGTAATTTCTCCAAGCCAGAGACGAGGAGAAATTACTGAACTTGACCTCAACATCAATTACCAATTGAATTGCTTTTCCAATGGTTTTACATCAGCCCCACGTAGTTTTACAAAATTGTTAAAGCCAGTGTATGCTTCTCGAGGAAATTTGGGCTCGTGATGTTTGGATAGATTGACGACTCCTACTTACAGAGGGATACATTCAACAACTGTATGAATAATGTCTCGGCAAGTCTTTCCATGTTTACAAACCTTAGGTACTTTCCCATGAAGAAAAGTCAGTGTTTTGTCGAGAAACGTTATGTTATATTATTTTTGTGTAGTAAAGAGGTCACATGACTCTATATACTATAATTACATTCATCTTGGGTGTGAAGGGAGAAAGTGCAATTTTAGTGCGTTGAAATAAAGCAGTTAAACTAAAACTTTGTGAGTGAAATTAAACTTAGAACGAGGAAACTCTGTATTCTACATTCCAAACAGTCCGGACCAATCTAGGAATTGACTTTGCTATAGTTTATTTTGAGCTCATTAACCATGACATTCGCACTTCCATAATTAAGAGCTCAAACGTTTGTGAGTGCATGCTCTGTGCTATTAAAAATGATAAGCCATCTATTCGAACTGTCATTGGCCATATGGTTGCTATTTTGCTTATGCAGCAGAGGAAACGAATACTTGAGGGAAAAATGACGTACTCATTAGAGGCAAAAGTGACCACAACAGGTAAGTTAAACATACTCCTAATGCAGTAAAATTCTATTGACTGTGCCCTTTGGGCCTAACAATACGATCTGATACCTCTATAGAGGAGAAGGAGCACACTACAATAATAGGCGCGCAGAAGGGCAATGGACAACAGAGGAGACAACTTTTGTTATAAGTTATTTGGAAACCACAGCTGCATTTTTTTTGCTTTTCAAGCCTTTGGCAAAACGAGCTCTGACGTTCAGGTTAGGCTTGAACTAGATAACAACCACTTTCTGCTATACAAATGCATTAACAGTTCTGTTATAATGTCCAAAATATGGGCTTCAAAATCTCGTGATTTCCTTGTGACGTGTAGTAAAAAGATTCGAAAATTGAACAAGACGTATCTGTATGTGTTTGTAGATGTTGATCGCCAAGGTTAGTGAGTCATGACAAGGACTGTTGGTGTTAATGTTGACTGTCAATGAATTGGAATTTTAGGCCCTAAAGAGTTAAATGATTTGTAAACAGATACTAAATTCAACATTTGGGATGCCAAGTAATTTTAGTAAAAACACTAAAATCTACTTATTTAATATTAGTAAAGATCGGGTAAGTCGGTCGGTCTACGTGTGTCTGTTCACAAGCAATGCAACAGATAATTCTACATCCCATGATATTTTTCTCATTGAATTTGTTGGCATTTGATGGAACTACTTTTTCATGTTATATTTATAATTGTGCTATCCTACCTTCCACTTTCAGGTCTAGTCACAGCTGGCTGAGACAAGAAAGATCAAAAATCTGATTGAGATTAATTGCTAGCTGCTTTCGATAACCTGCATGGTTTTCTAACACAGCTTTTCCAGTTCTGGTTGCATGGCAAAATTATGAAAACAGGGAATGTAATATGACATGAGCTGAGCCCGATAGCAAATAATTGCTTTTGCTGGTTGAGTTTATATCCTTAAACAACGGTTGGATAATGGTAATAATACAAATATAGATTACGAATTACGATAATGTAAACGTTGGTCATAATAATATTGTGGTTATTATTCATTACGATAAAACAGATATTAAATGTAGATATGATCTTCGCACTTTGCTGATGTTTTCCCGTGAAAGGAATATCATATGCAAGAATGTTATATGCAGTGCGGTGTTTGAAATTAAATGTAGATATGATCTTCGCACTTTGCTGGACAAGTTAAGCAATTGTCTCAAGAACCTGAGAAACTCAGGTGACTCAACTGGAATCGAGCCCATGACCTCTGTGATGCCGGTGCAGTGCTCTAACCAACTGAGCTATGAAGTCACACAGTGGAGGGCAGGTCAATATGTTGGGCTGATGTTTTCCCGTGAAAGGAATGTCATATGAAAGAATGTTATATGCAGTGCGGTGTTTGAAATTAAATGTAGATATGATCTTCGCACTTTGCTGGACAATTTAAGCAAGTGTCTCAAGAACCTGAAAAATATGTTGGGCTGATGTTTTCCCGTGAAAGGGAAAACCTGCTCTCCACTGTGTGACTGATAGACACTGTCTGTGCTGGCCTGTGCTAGCAGTCAGGTGAATCTTTAGTGCGCGCAAACGCTCTACACAAGAATATAAATTTCTTTTAACAGGAACAATAATAAAAAAACAGTTATGACTCTTGTGTAGGTTGGGAATGTGTCGATGGAAACTGTTACTACTTCAGTGTTGATTTGATGACCTGCTTTGAAGCAAGAAAGTTTTGTCTGGATAAAAGTTTTGACCTTGCAGTTCCCTTCTTATAGGCAAACAATGCCCATCTTTATTCAGTAATGAGTAAAAAAGGCATCAACAAGGCTTTTATCGGATTGTTTAAGACGGCGCCTGGCCTCGGCTCAAAATTCTACACTACCAAGTGTCTTTTGTACAGGCCAGTTTGTACAAAAAGACTGAGGTTCGATATTTCTCAGTAAAGACCGAGAAAGCGAGGTTATTAGAAGAATTATTTTATGGCAGTATTTCAACAGAAACGAAGCTTGCTTTTTTTCTCCTCCTTGCTGGTTTTCACCTGTTGGCTTTCACTTTTCTAGTTTTCGTCCATAAGAAATTGTCTTTTCAAATTGTATCGTCTGGATAGTTAAACTGTTTTCCAAGTATTTTTCTTTCGAATCACATTTGTAAATGTTTTTGTTTCGTTTATTTTGCGTTTTGTTTTACGAAGTTTGTTTACACTTGACTGTAAAATTACGCGTTTTTGGACAGGCAAAAATTTTTCTGAGCCAATCAAAGCGCGTCATTTTGCCGGAAGTGACGCTTGCTATATAATAATTACATGTAATAACCTTAAATAAATAAATGCAGCTCAGTTTTATATTCGAACTGCTGTCCACAAAAGGCCATTGGTTCATGAATTCCCTAGGGTTTTAGTATGTAAATAAATAGAAGAAAGAGCTGTTGTATCTTATTTCTGATTAACGCTGGCTACTCTGATAATATATTGGTAGATGTTAATGCATAAAATACTAATGCTTATCACGTAGATATTAATGATGATTATGCAAATATTTATATTTACGAAGAATAAACTGCTGATAACAGGAGCTTCGGAAGCTTTGAAAAGCTGTAGGTGTTCTAAGTTCGTGATGTGACAACGCAAGAAACAAGAATAGTAACGAAATTGTTTCACAATAGTTATTTTCGATCGGTTTTTCTTCTTTTTCCACGAAACATTACAAAAATCCTCCAAAACCTCTTTATTGTGTTTCATTACATAAAACAAGACTTAAATATATCTTAAATGTTTAAACAATTTGAAATTTTTGGTTCTTGCTGCTCGTTCATCAATCTGAAAATTTGATACACTTGTAAAAACACAGCATGCATTATGTCATAAACATTGAAGCATGACGCTAAACTTATGGGTGTCTTTCATACTATAAGTTGTGGATGGACGGACACCCAGACACCCACGGCTTCCCAAGCTCCTGGTTGATAGTAAAAAGAAAGTTAGTTACTACATTGATCATTTCAAATTGCTAAATTCAAATGAGAGATACATTTTATGTTAACAATGTAACGTTAATATATAGTGCACTAAAGACCCACTTGATCTTGTAAGATCTTCTGAAGATCATATGAATTGTACTTAGCTAAAAGGAATAATACATTAAATGTTATATGTGCACATGAATGCAATCTCACCCAGTCAACGTACTATTTCTTTGAGATTTTGTTCCACTCTCTTAAGCACTTACGAGAAAAACAGTTTTTCCATTGCTCAGATTTGGTTATCCATGGGTTGCCACATTTAAGAACTTTTAAGATAACCGTTCGGATCCTACGGGCATCACAGAGGTAATCAACCTTCAAATTTTCTTTGTGATCAAAACAAAAAACTTTCTTTTTCTTTTTGAAGATGTTCACACTTTCGAATCTATCATTGCTGTCAGAATACAGCAAAACTGCAGAAGAAATATCCCATAGTTGAAATATGAGTATCAGCCATTCAAAGGCTTCTTTCTCATCGCCGGGTTTTAGATCTCGAACTTCCCAGAAGACCTCTATGATATTTTCTTCAGCTAGGCTATGCCATATTTCGACGCACGGCCTTTAGCCAAGCTTAAACATTGCCTGGTAAGGACATAATTCCACGCTGGCATGATGAAGGAAGTATAAAAAAGTGATGCCACAGAGGCGATACCTTTTTATAAATAAGCAAGGATCAATCTAATAAAGAACATGAAAATATTTTCAATGAAAGCCTGAAAATCATGAAGCGGGAGACGTCTCAAAATGATAAAATAATAATAATAGCAATAACAACTTATGTATGTACAGGTTTGTTAGGTCAGAAAAGAAATATTCTGACATCAGTCGAAGACCTGTACCTAACTAACAATAAATATAGATACATAAAAGTTACACAAAATTTAAGTTAAAAAGTTAAAAGACTAAAACGTTAAAAAATACTTGCTACATGTTGTGTCAGTGATCATTTTTATAATTTCGTGGAAGCCATTTGATAGGTATAAACGATGGAAGACAGCGCCTACGTTTGTTCACTTGATGGATAGTAAGCAAAGTTTAGAGCTAGGTTACCATACCTGTAGATGAGAGGCTGTTTTCCCAGTCTCTTCAACTACTGGCTTGTTTGGATCTAGTTGTTTCTAGTAAAAACATAAATTTAACTGTATATTTTAGGTCTTTTTTCAAAATTTAATTAGAAGTAGTCAAAAATTTACATACTAAAGTCGCGTTTCCAATAGATGACGATGATTTATTATTGTCATGCATCTCTGATGATGTCTACAAAAATCAATGCAATTTTATCAGTTTTGTCAAAAGGTCATCTTTTCACACATCAAAAAACAAATTCCAGAATTCATAAAGCTAGTGCATACCCTTGCTGTTTCTTCATAACACTGGATTGACCCTTGCAACTGAGAGGCTGTTTCCCCAGTTTCTTTAACCATTGGCTTGGTGCCAGCTGTCTGTTTCTAGAAAAACATCAATTTGATTACATATGTCAGGTACTTTTTTTCAAAACTTTTATAGAAATACTCCAAAATTTACATACCAAACTGTTGTTTTCAATATATAAGGAGGGTCTAACATTGTCAGCCATCTCTGATGTCTACAAAAAATCAATGCGATATCAGTTTTGTCGAAAGGTCAAAAGGTCATCGTTTATCACAGCTATCAACAAATTCCATAATTTACAAAATAATTGTATACCCTTGCTGTTTCTTCAGAACATTGAATTGATATTTGTTACTGAGAGGCTGTTTTCTCAGTTCCTTTACCCTTTGGCTTGGTTGGATCTGGTTTTTTTTCTGGCGAGAACATCAAATCAACTGCATATGTCAGGTCTTTTTGTCAAAAATTAGGTAGAAATACCCCAAAATTTACATACAAAGGAGCTGTTTCCCACAGATGACGAGACTTTTAACATTGTCTGGCATTTCTGACGATGACTACACCAAATCAATACAATATTAGTTTGATTTGTTTGCAAAGGGTAAGAGGAAGATTGAATTGGCTTTTAGCTGAACGAGAAAGCCTTTTTTATTTCACTCCATTCCATTCCATTACATAAAACATTAACTTATATCGACATTTCTCCCTTCCAACAATATACATCTTGCTTGAAAAGAAATTACTAAATCATATGCTTCAGCCAGCATAAGCGTTTTCTATTTTACTTAAAGTTTATTTCACATGAAGTATTGTACTGGAAAATCTATATTTTGTTTTGCTTAAAGATGTAGATCGTTTTTTCGTCTATTGTTGCAAGATCTGTGTACTACATTCCGTGTTTGTCATGGACTTAAGACACGTTTTGTGTTTTGATGGTGTGTCTTCAGTAATAATCAGCACGCTCACAACTGCTTATTATCGTCGCTCATCATAAAGAATTTTTTTAAGGTTGGGTTTGCAAAGACCTGGCCGTCCATGTCGGATGGTACAGTGAATTTAAAGTACATTCATCAACTGCATCCTAGGCAAGCTAATGAGCTCTGGTATTGAGAGAAACGGCTTAAGTTCCACAGTCTTAAGCTATATTTTTTTGAAAAACTTGTTTTCAGTGTGGATGCATGCCTCCGCATAAGACATAAAAAGATCTTTGCCATCAATTTTTGCTTCTTCCACATTCAACTTCATTGCAACTAATGCATCTTATGTGAATTTTTTATCACCTGGAATTGAAAAACGTATGAATTTTGTGTTATGATGCAGTACTATATTTAATGTTTGATGCATGTCATCATAAGCTTTTCTTGAGGAAATATTTCAAGGTAGGAGCATAATTTTGCAAATTATTCAGCTAAGTAGTTTTATCTTGATTTTGATGTACTAACCTGTTTACTATATAACATACAATTCATTTACAGAAACACCAGATGGCATTTATAAAACTTTTAGCATAAAGCAAACCTTTACACACCATCATCATGATTGTCTATAATCTGTCAAATTGTCCAGGCTAGCTGTTCAATACAGGTATTTTTTATTGTACGACATGTACCAAGGAGCTCATTAATTAATCCTGCACTGCATTCGATTTCAATACAGCTGTTTTTTTAGTATTTGCTTTATGTTTTCAGAAAAATATCATGAAAAAATCTTCAATTTCTTGAAGGTAAACTCAGTCGAAACAAGGAGTTTAAAGATATGCATATCTCGATAAGAATTGGTTGCTTTGCCTCGTCTAGCAAGCGATTAAGTAAGGAATAAATAACACTGAATAAACATAACTTAAATTATGATTTAGGAGTAAAAATGTCAAGGTATATATTCAAAGGCCTATACCTAAAACTTTGCTTATGAAATGTTTCTCCGATCAAGGAAAGACTGAAGTTTGTTTATGAAATATTTAACCAATGAAGGAACGATAAAAAATCGAAAAAGATGACGACGGACTGATATGGTGACCCCAGCATTGGTTTCAACAATAAAATGTTGGAAAGGCCAAAAACGCTCGTCTTTTTCACATACTTCGGAAACGATTTGAATCTTGCAAATTGGTAAGAAGGTAAAAAAATTTATCCGTGCTCAATCGGCTGTAATTTTTGTTTCATAATTTTGTTAATTAATAGTTTTAATTGTGATTTTTTAAAGTATTTGTTCACTTTAGTTGCCTATCTTTTGTAATTATTAAACTGATAAGACACGTCACACTTCTTCAAAATTTCTTCAAGCGAATAATTTTTATCATAACTGGTTCCTAGCTTCTAATCAACTGACTGACGAACAACTCTCTATTCCTTATACAAAAGAGCTACACCTACTAATTTAATTATAACAGGTTTAAACATTTTAAATCATGAAAGAAATCTCAGAATGATAAAATCTAGCTCAGCCCCATAACTGATTCGTTGCACTTACGTCTACGCAAACATATTTACCTTATTAATCAATGTTTTTTGTTGAACGTTGAGCTAATTGTTTAGACCAGAGAAAATGGCGTCATTAAAAATCCGCTTTTACTAATAATAACTATATCACTTTAGGTGAGTATTTGTACTTTGTTACAGCCGGTGAAATTACCAGTGATTCGCTAATTGCATGAATTTTCGCAGCTGAAAACTCTTTGCCTTTCTTGCGTTTTATTTTGCTTGGATTCCATCAGATTGTTATCCGAATGTTATGACATAAGCATTCTATATTTGTCAGTGCTCACTGATATGTATATATATATAACTTTGCATTAAATTAAAGGAATGAATTATAATAATAATTGTTAAAAAATTGAAAAGTTTCGTGGAATGTAAACATGTCATCGTAAGGTAATTCTTCACTTACTAAAGAAGGCTAAATCAACGAAAATCATTCAATTGACTTTTTTCCTTCCCATTTAACCCATTTGTATCGATTTTTGCTACATTTAGTATTTAAAACTGCGTGAAACTACATTTATTCAAGTTTTGATGAAAAGCTAAGAAATAAAAGATGTTTAGAATTGTTTGATAGGACTTATGCAAACCGAGGGAGAACTTAAGCGATGATAAGTACAAGCACGAGACCGAAATACATACACAAAATTAATTACTAAAAGAAGACAGAATTGCATAACCTCAAGAGAATATTAATAATATCTCAAACAAAATCCGTTTGCTGTCATCATATCTATTAAGCAATTATCTTCAATTTTTGTTATAAGCCTCGTGCATAAGCCCTTCCTTGAATAATCTAAACAGATAAAAACCATATTTTAAGCATTTCTACAAATTGTGTCAGTCAGCATGAGCATTTTATAACTTACACGCATGTCAAATGTCATTTCGTGAACTATTTACATGTACTGCGCGTCACAAATTATCACATGACTTGGGACAACATTCCAGCATCCCAGCATTCAGTGCGTGCATTAGCAGCGTCTCCCAGCAATTTTGAGACCCTCGAAAACTGGAAATTTTCGTTGATTTTGGGCGAATGTCACACTTCTAATGCTTGAAATGTTTCTCACACGAAAATGTCAACTGCTTTACTTAAAATTATGCAATCCGAGAATCGACGGACATTTCCCTAAACTGTCTACAAACGTCCAAGAATCTTTTGTAAATCTTGAGAGAATCATTATATGACAGTAGAAAGCTTCCCCCCCTAAAATGTAGCAGTGGCTCTTCCGGTCAAAAGTCAGACTCGCGGAAGAAAAATAGCCGCGTTTAAAACACTCATGAAAACAGGAAGTTTCAGAAGATGATATAACTAAAATTGTAAATGAACTCATCAGTCATCAGTATGTCAGAAAACAAACATTAAATCCACCCCCCAATTCATCACATTTGAAAGCTTTGGCCATAGTTGCTTATTAAATTAAATGATGAGAAAAGAAGGCCAGAAGTAACTGAAAGCCTTGCAAAGGTTGTTGATAAACTTCATCGCACGTAGCTCACTGAAGAAAAATTAAAAGAAAAACAAGGTTTTCCCTCAAGTTAAAAGGGAAGCCATGGAACCCATCAGAGTAAACTCGGAAATTTGGCAACAACTGTAACCCAAAAGGTGCAGAGTTCCTTACTAAATGGACTAATCAGTTGAGCAAAACTCTCCTCCAGTTGGCAGAAAGCTTCTCTGAGGCGAAAGCAGAGAAGTATTTGTAAAACAAGCTCTTGATACTATATCCTTTGTTGCACAAGCGAATAGAGAGTTAAAACAGAGACCTATAGAACTCAATAGAATGAGCATACAGTATGATACCTATATAGTGCTTCAGTCCACTGATTCAGTAACAGACAATTTTAGGACCTGGAAATATTTGTTGAAAAAATTGATTACAAAAGAAAGCAAATCTCTTTACTATTTACATAAATCGATCGAATAAAAAACTTTAACAAATTACTGGGCTGCCTCTAATTTTATTAAATTAGTTAACAGCATAGGGGGCGAATCATTAAGTTCTATTAAATTACTTGGACGGGAAAAGGGCCTGGAACATGTTGTCAAGAACATGGATGCCAAAATTATTTTCACCATTCACTCCCTCCTTATTTCTGAATACAGAAAGTGAAACCAATGAAAATAATGATGAAAACAATCACGATTGGAAAGAACACAACCACTGACATCACGAGGTACCGCAGGCTAGTGTCCAGGACCCGGCATATCAGTATGCAATTTTCGTCAAAACGGTATTTTTAACAACCGATATTTTCACTTCTATTATACTTATAAGGAAAAACAAACGCTCATCACACTCAGTGCATGCATTCTGATCTTTTAACTCATACCAAAATGTATAAAGGTGAAACTTTATTTCATAAGCACGTTGTGGAAACTTCTCCATTGTCGCAATTCGTTTTATTATGGATAGTGAAGTTTGCATAAATCCACTGATTTGTACTAGTAGTTCATTCGTAGTTCATATCCTGGGCTAAATGCTCTTGGTAGTTGGTAGCTCATGTCTATCAACAGTTCTCCCTTGTAAGCAAATATAGGTTAGAAGTAGCCAAATTTCAGCAAAAGACCAAATTCGTTTCTTGAGTTTCTTCATTCTGTATGGCATTAAGTGAACTTTAATATACACTGGAACAATACGTCAGAGGGGGAAATTGAAGCCAGATGATGGCAGCCATTTAGGTCGCTCTAGTCCTTTGGTATACTAAATAGAATTTTTATATTTATAAATTTTCAAAAGTGAACTTGTCGTTGACATAGCTAATCGTTCAAACCACCCAAATATTTTAGTTCCAATTTAAATACACAAACTCAAAAGGTTTTTTAAAAATTGAGCAATTTGCAAGAGAAAATGGTGTTTTTTAGAAGCATT